TCCCCTCCCCACCTCCTTTTGGTTTTATACCACACTTGATCATAAGAAATTTGTTGCCTTTACTCTGTGCCTGCCCACTACCTGGCCCTGGAACCCAGCTCCAGAGGCGAGAGATGCCTGTGAGAACAATGGTGCAAAGAAGTAGAGCACCCAAATTTGGTCTGACTTTCCTGTCTCATGATAGGAAAGTAGAAAAATGCATAAATGGAGAAGTCTGCTGTGAGTGAGTCATTCATATACAACAGAACCTGGGGGAATATTTTGAAATATTTCTGCAGATCATCAGTAAGTCTTGTCCCTGTGATGGCACCCTTGCCGTCTCCCTGTGCCAACACAAGCATGTGCATGGGTTGATGAACTGTAGAGGAAAAGAGTCTTCTGTTACTCTTCCAGTGCCCAGCAGACTTCTCGCAGTCCTAGTGCACTACTTGGAGTCATCCCAGAGCTGTGTTTGGCACCCTACAGGTGTTTTTTCAGTAAAAGAAGGTAAAATTGATCCATCTGATTCAGAAGGGCAAAAAGTCTACAAAGGCCATCGGTGGCAGTGAGTTTTGATATGAATCCATGGGTTGTGCCTTGGATTTTGCCTAGAGCAGCTTTGCTACTTGGAGTAACAAAACAAAGCTGGGAGGGGGGAGAAATCTCAAAGATGAAGTTTTAAATAGCAGCACTGTGAAAGCTTTTAGTACCACAGAATGGACAGCATGGCACAGGTGCATTCAGTGACCTGTTTTGTTCAGGCAGTGAAAGATGTCTTGGAAGCTGCGGCCCTTTTTAGCTTTGGTTCTAACAATATTCCCTCTTGACCTGAAATTATCTTAATGGCAGTGGAGACAGAATACTCACGTTGTTTTTACTCTTTGATGTTTGTTGGAATCCCCTGTGCAGAGGTTTTCCTGGTTAGCTCAGTACTGTTCTTGGGAACTCTTCAAACCAAATGAAACCCAGTTCATAGCCATTAACCTGTGTGATCTGCCCTGTCCAACCAGCCTATTGAGATAGCAAGTGAAAAATGTACTCTAAAGAGGGCTCAATTTAAAGAGGAGCTTGACTTGTAGACTTGCTCTGACGAACCCACAGTGAAATAGGAAGCTGGACAGAAATGTGTTTGTGTGTGCAAGCAGTATATGGGGCATTCATCCATGCACACGCCCAGGAATGTACTGGGAAAACAAGCAGAACTGTTTGTTTTAGTAATATAATTTCAATAATAATTAGTGGCAAACCCATGTGGGGTCTGGGCTAATATGTTTTCCCAGCAGTTTTTCAAGGCTGAAACCAGAGTGTTCGCTGAGGGAGAAGGAGACAAAAATGAATGTTTGAGCTCCAGATCCCTGTGGCTGTTACTGCTCTTGGTTGTCAGAGGGACCTTGAGTTTGACTATCAGGAAGCCCCGATATCAGCTCTCTTTGTACCTTCTGCAGAGTAAGTATGGAGCTGATAAGTAGCTGATTGTCAGCCCTTTGGGTTGCCAGGCCTGGTTTCTGCTGGCTGGCCATCAGCGAGCTCCTTGCTCTTTCCCTTCCAGAGCACACAGGGTGCAGGAAGAGCAGCACCAGAGGGAAGGGCGGCACGTGGTGCTGCTGCGGGACTGTTCAGAGTGAGGGTGGTAAAGAGTTTTGCTGGTCCTTCCCCAGCCAAGAGAAGTACAAGGAAAGGTGAACCTATAGGCTGTGCTTTTACAGCAGCAGCTCTGCTAAACCAGGAGACTGCAGAGCTGGGCTGGTGGCTCCTGGCGCTGTTTCAGAGTGAAGATTTGTGCAGCTCGTAAAATCCCTCTCCTAGTGACTGGCAGCACTATGAGGCAGCTGTCTAGGGACCAGGAGATATGGGAGAAATGCCTCACATGAAGTTTCTAGAACCTGTAAGGTGCCTTGGCCAGCTGGCACTTGGGGCCATGCACCCGAATGCAACAGATGAGTGTTTAAGTCAGGTTTGAGGAGCTTTCTCTCTTCCTCTGCCCTAAGCTTGGTAGAGAAAGCTACTTGGAAACCTGGCAAGGAGTATATTGCCACCTGGCTGGTGTTATTTTTCACTCTAAATGTATTTTTTCCCTCAGAACTGCAGAAAAGGACAGTTTTATGCACACAGGCGCGTTTCAGCCATGTTCTGCCCAGCAGGTACACCGGCAGCTGGTGACGTTGGATAAAGCAGCTCACTCCTGTGGTAGGTTGGAAGTCTGTCCCCACATGCTCCTGCTCCCGGGACCTGGAGTGCAGACACTGCTGCCCCGTTTATTTTCATCAAAAGCTGCCATGGCCCCACAATAAGTAATGGGTCTCCAGAGAGGGCAGATGAGGCTCTCTGAGCCCTGTGCAGGGTGAGCCGGGCCTGAGCCTGTGGTCTGTGGAGATGTGTGACCATGTCTAGCCATGCTACCAGCCCCTCAGCAGAGAGCAACCCCTCACCTGGCTCCTTTGCACCTCCTTCCCTGACTCACTCTTAAAACCAACCTCACTACAACTTGTTGGGTTCTCCAGTGTCTTCTCACCGCTGTGGCCTTCCCTGTAATGGCTGCTGTAAAAGCCTTTTCCTTTGCTTCTGGTGCTTTGTCATGTGTTTCCTTACAAATCCTGGCTGGAAAGCTTCTCCTTGTTCTTTCTCTGATATTGCTTCACGTCTCTGCCATGCTGGGGCAGAGAAAGGGTAGAGGCCTCGCATTAACAATGTGCTGAGCAGCCTCACCCATCCAGCCAGGTCTCACTGGAGTCCCTGCACTCAGGTGTTTTGCAGGACTAATAATTATTCGTGGATTTTAGTGCTTTGTTGAACTCCAGCTGGAGATAAAAGCAAGCTGCTGTTCCAAGGAGCCTTGGGTTTCTCTGATCCTTCAGTTTACATGCCCGTTGTGGAAGCTCTTGTGCCTGTTTTTGCATCAAGCCCATTTTATGTCTCAGTAGTTCTCAAGCCTGGCCTTGGTGCCACAGTCAGGAGTGGCCAGGACTTTGATCAGTTTGTCAGTGAGGCCTCTGAACCCACAGTCTGATGTAGTTTCTTCCTGACACTGTTCTGTCCCCCAAGTTTTCGTGCTGTGGTTGGATGTGACGGCTGTTAGGCTGAAAGTGTCTGTAGGCATGAATGATGTGATCAGCTAATGTATGTGAATGTGGCAAAGCCCTGGCCAGCCCACACTGTACTGGAAACACAAAAGGAGATTATGTGTGCCCTGTACACACCAGGCTCTCTGTGTAGTGTACTTGTTCCATGGGAAGGAGGGTGGCTGGCTTAGCTTTTCCTTCGTGCCCTGTGGCAGCTCTTATTGCTGGTGTTTGCCCAGGGCTGGGGTTGCAGTTTAGTGTGGGCCAGCCACTGCCCCAAGTAGGGGACCCCAGGCGCTCCTCGGTCTCTGCTTCCATCTGCTGGACAAGCTCTGGCTCCTGCTCTCTCCCATTTTTCCTTGGTGCCTCAGGGATTTTACTAGCTCCTTTTAAACTGTGCTCACGTAATACTACAGATGGAAATCCCTTTCACTCGTGTATGGATGGCAAGAAGATGTCAGTGTTGAACCAACTCTCTTTGGCAAGACCTCTGTGCTGGAGTAAATGGCAATGAGCCTGGAGATGGGCTGAGCACAGCGCGTTCGGTGCAGCAGTGTGTAGCCTCCTGCCATGCAGGCAGCCCTGTGTGCTGAGGCCAAAGCTTCTCTGATTTATATTCACAAGAAAGTCAAGTATGAGAGAGTGTTGCTTGGATGCCACATGAATGGCCAGTGTGGGTCAGGCCAGAGGAGGTCCAGCCATTGCAGTGCCATCTCCAAAAGTGACCACAGCAGATGCTAGAGGAAAGCATGTAAAAAAAAAATGGGCAAGGAGGACACATTGCTTTCCTTGGACATCTCCCTCATCATCTGACAGGCTGGGATGTGGGAACAACTTGGGCTGGGGTCTGCAGTGAAACCTTTGTATTTAACAGTCCCGTTAAATGTGTCCTTCATGAGCTTGTCTGAACCTCTTGGTTTTGAATGCTGCAGCATCTTGAGACAGCAGGTTTAACTGTGTGCTGTGCAAAAGCTCCTGCTTTTATTTGTTTGAGATGTGTTGCCACCAACTCTCTCTGGTAGATTATGGGAGCACTTGGAGCTGGCCCAAGAATTATTTGTGCTATGTGACTCCTCTGCAGTTATTTCTTCCTTCATGAGGACAAAACCAAAAGTGTTTGTCAGAGTTAGACGTATCTGGGAGAGCTGGAAGAACAGGGTTGCTGCTGTCAAGGATCATGAATAGTCTGGTTTGCTCAAAAGTGCTCAGGTTGTTTTAATCCGACAACAGAAATTCAGCTGCTGCAAAGGCATTTCCTTCACCTTCCCTTAACCTTTGCTCAGCAGTGGGAAGATACAGGCAGAAGGTTCATTTCAACCAAAAAATCCCCATGGCAAAGACATTGTGCAATGCAGCCTGTAAACACTGCTTGATTTAACTGTTGGCTGTTCATCTGTGCATGTATAAACTAAATAATGCGCTCCCCTCCAGATGTGTAATGACTGATTTAGTCTTTGTGGCATCAGGTGAAGGCCTGGACACAGAGGCTTGACCTCTCTTTCTTGCAGTTTACAGTACAGCATCTGGATGTTTCAGTTTCTTTAACCGAGTTACTGGATTCTTTCTGAGCTGTTACAGTGCCTTGGCAAAGGGTGTGTTGTGTTGCTGTTGCTCTTTTTGAGGGTAGCGGTGTCTTGTTTCGTCTAACAAATCGTTTAGCAACAGTCAATGAAGGTACCAGGCTGAAACGCTATTTATTTTCCATGTGAAAATCCTGATACTAATTTTTACTAGGGCCAGTATGATTAGAGTAAATCTGCAGGGCACCCCTTTGTTCATTTCCTTAGCAAAAATATTGTAGTCATGTGAAAACAAGACTTGCTTTTCTCTTCCAGCTGGTCATCACCACACGTGAGACTGCCTGGGGAAGCACGGTCGAGGTGACTGGGCTCTACATTCTGTGTTTTTCTAGGGACTTTGCAGTTTGGAAGGACAGACTTTTCTTTTTATTTTTGACATTAGGTTCCCAGCCAGCAGGAGGAGATGTCACCATCGTTGCCGCGCCGGAGAACACCACGGTGGTGGCTGGGGAGAGCGTGGTGATGGAGTGCATGGCGGCTGCTGATCCCACCCCCTTTGTCTCCTGGATACGACAGGGTGAGCGTGAGGGACAGAATTCAGCTTTTGTTGACAAGAGGAACCTGTGGATACTTTATTTTAAAAATCTATTAAAAAGCAGAAAAATCTGTCGGACAGGAAGGGTGCTTGTTACATCAGTGCCTAATGACTCAGGTGGTGTAGTGTAGGGTGTCCTTGCTAAACTGGAATTAATAATTAAATCTAGAAGGTTAGAAAGCACGCAGTTCACTTTATAGTTCTTTGCCCTGTGAAATATATGAAGTTCTACTGTGTGGATGCCTTTTGATCTAAATTAGTCATCCTCAGTGTATGAGCTTGAGCAGTGAAGGTCACAGAGATGGGGTCAGGTCTATGCCAGTCCTCCAGGGACCCAGAGGTTAGTTGGGGATTCTGTGGAATTTTCTATTGCCTTGGTGAAATAACTTGTATTATCTTGCAGGATTATAAAACATGATAAGATCTGTTAATCATTGGAGTGGCCGAGTGTGTTGCTGGGAGGTTTTTATTAAAAAATCTTACTGTGGTCAGATTGGTAATGGAAGGATCGAAAAGATGCTTGGGTCTTGTCAGAGGTATACAAATGAGCCAGACTGGCATACGTTACCTGGGGCCAATAGCCTAAGTCACAAGTAGGATGCTGGTGTCACTTCACCAAGTGTCACGTCCATCAGATGTGTTTCAGAGGATCTGACTGAAGATGTTCCCAGCTCAGGAGTCAGTTCTCCCCTAGAAAAGGCTCTTAGTCTTTTTCATAAATCAGGGTCATGATTTAAGACTCCTCTCCCCTGTAACCATTTATTGTGGTTGGTCTTCAGCCCAGACTTGTCCACAGGCAGTGATTTTAGTGTATATAAACATTTCCTCTTCCCCACAAAAAAAGGAGCAAAAAAGTCTCTGAGGATACAGCTTTGGAAATCAAATCAGCAAGAATTAAATGTTCTGGCAGAAATGTTTCTGGTTTATCCTGTGCACTTCACAATTAGAAATACCTTTCCCATGCTAGATCACTTACTCATTGCTTTACTGAGAGCTACTGATGCCCATAGTAGAGTAGATATTATTAGAGTTAAGACTATGAAAGTCTTTTGGATGAGGGGAAGAGGAAAGGGAAGGGAGGAAGGACTGGTGAAACAGTTCCTTGCATGCTTTATTTTAAAGTGCTTGCTTGGTCCCCCTCTGCTTCCCAGTGTGGACTCTTCAATTAGAAAAGATGGATTAACAGTGCTAGCAATTCTGTGTTACACAAGCATGTTCCTTTCCAAGACTTCGTTAAGGAGCAGGCTGGGTTACTGGATGATTAGTCATGTAGGTAACAGGGAGGACTGTACCTCTGGGTTGCCAGTTTGGCTCTTGCCAGCCTCGGTGGTGTCAGCTAATTGCTACCATCTGGAGGCAGATTTTCAAACCGCTCTAGTGCAAATGGGGTGCACAGATTTTCTCCTCCTCTGAGCATGCAGCCACTGAACTGTGAGGCCATCTGAAGACCCCCAGAATGGAAGGAGGGGGCAGAGGATCTGATCTCAGCTGCATTCCCTGCTGATGGTGCTAAGTACGTGCAGCTGCTCACAGTGGAGGTGGAGAGCTTGCTTTTGTCTTGAGATCCAGGCTCAGCTGAATCTGTGAGAGGTAAAGGCAGGGCAGTGCTGAGTTTTTGCTGTCTGAAAGACATCCGTGCTTCTGCAGGTGGAGAGGAACAAGGTCTGGTGTTGCACAGGTGCTGTACAAATTGGCTGGCTCTCCCAGTCTGCTAACTTGTGCCAGAACTGGCCATGGGTTCCTGACCTCCCACCCAGGCCTGTGCTTGGCCATACTGTCCCCAGCTCTTGGCTTTGCTCCCCCCATGCTCATTCAGATGTACCAATGCCGTGGTCCCCAAGTTTCTCACATCAGAGCAGTCCAATGCACGCTGAGGAGCGTAGGGCTATTTGAAGTTGTAGGACAGCTCAGCTTCTTGACCAGGGAGCCAGAGCCACCTTTTCCTCCCTCCCTACTCAGCAGTGCTGAGCATCTAGCCAGGGGAATGGGGAGAGGGCAGCTCATGGCCTACATCTTTGACCTGAGCACCAGAGCCTTAGGGAGAACCAGGTGTCTTCCTGACACCTTACAGATCAGGAGCCAAGCTGGGGACGAAGAATGAATTGGGAAGCTCAGTAAATTTGGGTTCATGTCCAGGACCCAGAGGAGGGAAGAACCCCTGAGTTGTTAGTGATTCAGTGCTCTTGCTGACCTTTGCATTAACGAGTGAGGGGAGGAGGAGTGTGCGTTTGTGCGTGGGGGTCAGCAGGCAGATCCAGCAGCTTTTCCAAAATGTGTGTTAGCATAGCTTTCCCTTGAATGTGCTATTCCTAAGGGGTCTCATTGCAGGCACACCCTAGGCATCAGAGACTGTTTTGATCCAAAACAACTTCTTTGGTTGTTACAGGCTAAACTAAACCTTGGGCCAGTGTTGGCTTGGGGTGGCTGATGCTCGGTCAAGCACCAAGGAATGTCCCAGCAGGAATTCTCCTCTGGGCTGGAGTTTGGGATATGGGGGTCTCTCCGCTCCCCAGCTGTGATCCTGGCTCTAGTAGATGTGTTGTTTACAAGCCCTCATAAAGGGCAGCTTGGGGTTCCCTCCCACATTTGTGCACATTTCTTCCTGCAGATGGAAAGCCCGTTTCCACAGATGTGATTGTGCTGGGCCGGACAAATCTCCTCATTCCTTCCAGCCAGCCCCATCACTCAGGGGTGTATGTCTGCCGAGCTAACAAACCCCAGACCAGGCAGTTCGTTACAGCCGCAGCTGAGCTCCGGGTCCTTGGTGAGTGGAGAGCAGGATAAATGCTCCAGGTAGCTGTAGATTACCTGGACCAACATCCAGGAGCTCCCCAAGAAGTTGCATTTGTGGCCTGTGCTGGGTAGGAAGGGAGCCAGGTTAGATCCAGGAGGCGCCCTGGGTTGGCATGGGTCTCAGTGGGAGAGTCACCTCTTTAATTTGGGGTTTAGTTCCTTGTATGTACTGAACTGTTTTCTGCCTTACTCTTGTTCTCCAGGGTTCCCCCATGGAAATCTGTATCACCAATTAACTTTCAGTATCGTGGAAGCCAGCAGGGAGAACAGCCTAGGATCAGGGAACGCAGCACATGATTGATACAGAATTTATTTTTCCTTTTGGACAGAGTCTAAATTAAGCCTCTAGAGTCTGCCTGGCAAATCCTATCTTGTAAGCAAAGCTGCTACTGAATAAAACATAGCACTGAGTGGGGAGGAGAAGGGATTTGTTTTGCTATCTTTTCCTCCTCCTTCCTGCATTAATTTCTCCTCTCTCCTCCCAGCTACACCCAGCATCTCTCAGGCTCCTGAAACCATCTCTCGCACCCGAGCCAGCACGGCCCGGTTTGTCTGCAAGGCAGAGGGTGAGCCAGCCCCGACCATTCACTGGCTGAAGAACGGCGAGGCCATCCTCTCCAACGGGCGGGTGAAGGTGCAGAGCAGTGGGAGCCTCGTGATCAATCAGATCGGGTTGGAGGATGCTGGCTACTATCAGTGCGTGGCTGAGAACAGCCTGGGCATGGCTTGTGCCACTGCCAAGCTCTCGGTGATCGTGCGGGAGGGTTTGCCCAGCGCTCCCAAGAAGGTGTCAGCCGTGTCCCTCTCCAGCACCACAGTCCTTGTGTCCTGGGAGCGGCCAGAGTACAACAGCGAGCAGATCATTGGCTTCTCATTACATTACCAGCGGGCTGTGGGTAGGTGTTATCAACCAGTGCAACACAGCTGTGTGGCAGGTACAAGAGTACAAGACACAAGCCACGGGTTGATGTTTTTTTCCCAGCTAGTGACAAGTGTGAGGCAATTCCAGTTAGTCTAGCCCTCTTCATTGCAGGTAAAGGAATTTTCTCTTAGAGTCAGTATCAGTTTGTGACAGTGCCTGTGGATTAGCTGACATATACTAACTTGTTGACCAGCAGTAGCATGTCCACATAGCTGCGTTGTCTGGATTCTAGTGAGACCAGGTACTTCTGGAAGTGCGTTTTTATTCTTTACTTTTTCCTCCAACACATTGATTTTATATGCAAAGGGTGTGATTATTACTGGACGTATTAAACAGCCAAATTGTGTACAAGGGTAATCACTAAATTATTCACACCCAGAATCTGAAGTGAGGCACTTGGGTCTCTTGAGCTCTGTCTTCCCAAATGGCTGGCAAGCCAATACTCTTACTGAACTGTGGCCACAGCTCCTCTGAAAATTAACGTGGTAGCTTCAGCTCCCTTAGCATGGATTAAGGAGCTTGAGTCAAGATGGAGAAGTTAACATTGAGGCACTGAATGTTTCTGCCCAAAGAATTCACATAAGAGATGGGGTTTGTGCAGGTGCTGGAGAAACTGGAGAAGACAGAATGATTTTTTTTAAGATGGATTTGCACTATAGACCTTGTGAGTTAAGTGATTTTTTGAGGAGTGTCTTGGCAGTTCGCTGACCTGCTGATCAGTGTTTCCTTGGCTCTAGGAACAGATAATGTGGAATACCAGTTTGCTGTCAATAATGATACCACTGAGCTGCAAGTCAAGGACCTAGAACCCAATACCAACTATGTCTTCTACGTGGTGGCATATTCTCAGCTCGGAGCCAGCCGGACATCCTCTTCCATCATTGTTCAGACCCTGGAGGATGGTGCGTTGAATTAGATGGGCACTGGTGCCTAAAAAGTGTTCTTGGCCTGTTGCACTTGAACACTGAATATGCTATGGAGAATAGTATCAGCTGCTAGAAACCTAAACCTGCTTGCTGCTCCTACAGCTTCTTGTCAGAAGCCCTTTTAAAAAAACAAACAAACCAATCAACCATCCAAAAGCAAAGCACCCTGGTCTGATCATCAGCTTGGGTGATGAAGAGCATGAAAACAACCTCACTGACACTGAGGCCCATGAGCATCCTGTGGGAACTGCACCTCTGGGCTTTCACCTAGCTAATGTGATATTGCTCCAAACTTGACTCTGGGCCAGACTTGATTTCAACTCCGAGGATAGACATCTATTGCAGCTTGTAGGGGTGGGAGCAGCCTTGAGGTTGGATGTCTTAAGAGCCTGTAGTTTTTGTTGATTTTGCCATTTATCACATAGGATTTTGCAAGCAGTAAAGGCAGGGTGCCAGAAGGACAGCTGCCCAATGGGGGAGGACGTGCAGCTTTCAACAGGCTGCAGGACAGAGGCAAGAAGCGATGGTTTTGGCAGACCTCATACAAGCCCCTGCTATGCTGCAGGGTGCATTATGTGCTTTTAATACTCCTGACATAGTGAACTGCTTGGTCCCGAGTGTATGTGTCTGAAGCCTGAAAAGCTGAGTTGAAAGCATGAAAGCTGCCTGCAGCCCAGAGTTGTGATTGTTAAGGGAACGGGGATTCCCGGACTGAAGTCTGGGCCTGTGAGCCATTTCCTTTAGCGTCTCCTTCGTGTTCCACAATACAGCGTGGGCTGATTAGCTGGTTGGTGCTAACCTTCCCAGTTTGAAGTGGACACGAGGTCCCTATGGAGCCTGTTGAAGCTGAGCAGCCCACCATCTCCCCTCCCCAGACACTCCACCGATGCTCTGAGCTGTTGAAGAGCTGTGGGATATTGGTTCCACCCGGGACAGGCAGCATGCCACCAGTGGCTGTGGCAGGGCCAAGACCAGGTAGTGGCCTTCAGCCAACTCACAGAACTGACAGAGATGTGTTGAGGGCTTGCCTTGCTCTTTGCTGACTTCTTTTTGCTTCTACTCAGTTCCTAGTGCTGCCCCTCAGCTGTCCCTGTCAAGCATGACTCCTGGTGACATCCGTGTGACATGGGTGCCTCTTCCTCCAGAGCTGAGTAACGGCAAGATAACGAAGTATAAGATCGACTACTGCACCCTCAAGGAAGGTGAGGGAAACACAGTCTGGGGTGGCTTGTGTCTTCTGCTCCAGCATGTTATCAGCACGTTACGTCGAGGGTAGGAGGTGGAAGGCTGAAAACGGAGGGACCCCTTTCTACCCGAGGGAGGAGGACAGCCTTTTCTCAGCCTGGCTTTGCTGTTGGTGATCACAGCAGTGCTGGTGCTGTGCTACTTCACACTACTTTAAGGTGCCTTTTTCTGTGATTGTGGAGGAGCCTGTGTCCCCAGGGGAATGGCCTGACACTTGCATGTTTGTGCTGCCCCGTGAATGCCTGTACGAGCAACCCTTTGGTGCCGTTGGCACTGTGTGTTTTGGGGGAAGAGGTTTATGCTGGTTAGGGAAGAAGGGTAAATGCATTCGATTCCTTTAAAATGGAGCCTGATCCAAGTGATCCTTGTGGGGGAAAAAAAAAAAGCAACTATTCCAGCCAAGCTGTGTTGCTCTATTGTTGAGTTTTATCCAGTTTTATTTCTATTGTCAGACACTCTAAGAAGCCTTCAGCAGGGATGGTAACGTTTACCTATGCTGGCTATGGCTGTTCCAATTCCACGTGTGCTTACTTTTCAAATCCTTCTGGGTATTTGCTCTTAAAACCGTCAAAGCTCTGCAGCTTCTCACTTCCCAGGGTCATGATGCTTGCTAAGACAAGGATGGGGAGTATGATGAAGTGCTGGACATGTTCCCCTGTGTTTGATCTGGATTAGTAGTCTGCACTGTGACTCCTGGCTCTTGTTTCTTTGCCCTGAGCCTGCATGTGGCTCTGTGGCATCGTAAAACCTTGGAAACGTTTGCAGTCCAGGGATCACACTCAGCAATACGCTGTTATATAGCAGGGACAGAGCTCTCAGCTGAGTTTGTGCCATGTGAAGCTGAAAAGCAAGACCTCTGCATTCACCAAACAGGCAATATGAATCTTCAGCAAGACCAACTAGTTGTACAGTGAAAATCCTAGGCCATTGTCAGCTTAAATTTCCTGTTATCTCCCTTATGAACTTGGGTGGGCTGAAAAGGGAGCGATAAAACCTCAGTCTGGGGCGGGTGAAAGTGTGAATTTTGCAGAAAGCAGGGCTGGTGGACAGTTCTGGTTCAAATTAAGGTGAGGATTTAAATACAGCAATGAGAAGCACTGGGTCATACCATCACCTACCATTGGCTGTGCTCATGTTCTGCTGTCACGTCAGCAGCAGCAAGATTTCTGACAGCTCCCCTCCAGGCAGGCCCAGTGGTGCTGAAGGCAACCTGCAGTTTTGAATGTGATAAACGGGGTTGTCACTCTGGATATTAGCTCTGCCCAGTCTTTAGTTCTAGTTTTTCCTGGTGGCCTGAGGTTGCACTGGGAAAAGCCAAGCCAGCCCAGGGTGTGCAAATCATGGTGGGGGTAGCTAGGCTTTGTGCCTGCTCAGCTGTATTTCCTTTTGACTGACAAAGCCTTGTTTTCAATGGTGTCGCCTTGGTTTCAGCAGATCAGGTTACCTCCATTGAAGTGGGTGGAAATGAGACACAAATCACTCTCTACTCGCTCCATCCCAACAAAGTATACAAAGTTCGCATCGCGGCCAGCACCAGCGTGGGCTATGGGGCCCCTTCTGAGTGGACCCAGCATCGGACTCCTGACAGAGACAACCAGACACATGGTAGGAGACTGGGCAATGCCTGGGATTCGGGGCAGAGTGTGCAAGACATTGGGAACTTGAGGCGTAGTCAGAGATACTTGCTTTCACTAGGGAATTACAACCATTGGTTTTGGTTAGACCAAAGTACCCGCTTTTGTCTTTCTGTTCAGCAGCTGCTGTATATTTTGCTGCTTGCCTGGGTAAGTGAGTCTTTTCTCCCTCCATGTCTAGCTGTTAAAATTCTTTAAAAAGAAAGAAAGAAACAAAGAAAAACCTCAAACTCTGATGTTATGACATTTGGGAGTGAATAGACAATTCTGCCAAACAGAGCTGAGCCCAAGCCAGACTCCAGCAGTGGTTAAATACTCCAAATACATTGAATATATCTCAGAATATATTGAGAAACTTCCATAGTGGCTTTGTGACATTTTTTTTCCTGTATCACCCAGCTGGTAAAGTCAACAGTAGAGCCTGAGTGTATCACTCTTCACTGTGAGACAGTTGAGACATCCTACTCACAGGAGAGCCTTTCCTCACACCCCTCCCTCACTACCGAGGACAGCGAGGATTCAGGAGAGCAGGGAAATGGAGACAAGTGGCTGAATGTTCTTCTCTTGTCTTGTTATTCTTCTAGTTCCATTTGCCCCGACAGAATTAAAAGTCCGAGCAAAGATGGAGTCTCTCCTGATAACATGGCAGCCCCCAGCCAACCATGCCCAGATATCTGGCTACAAGCTCTACTACCGAGAAGTGGGCCCGGAGGAGTCCAGCAATGAAAGCCCTTTGGATGGTGCTGAAGATGAGAGCTGGGACATAGGACCCATAAAACTAAAGAAGAAAGTGAAGCAGTACGAGCTGACTCGACTAGGTTAGCTGGTTACATCTTAGCAGTTGGTATGGAAGCCCAGGGTCTGTCTCTTGCACTTTGTAGCTGTCCCGGGATTCTTCCAAGAGGCTGAGTTATCTGCTTGGCTGCAGATACACAGGTCCAGCACCATGTGAGCTTTTGTAAGAACACCCAAAATAATTTCTGAAGTGGGGCTCTTGGAGCTTGTTCTACGCAGAGTTTAAAACACAGAAATTTTTGATGCCAGTGTAGCAGAGATTATATTTTTAACCAAGGGCTACTAATATACTTAGTATATGCTAATAAGTGGATCTGAATCAATTAGTGGTTTTTATTGTGTTACTATAGAGAGTGCTTAGATTAAAATCTCCAGTCAGGACAATGATCTCTCCTTCCCTGTGTATTTCTAAGAAGCTCTATAATTGCATGGTATTTGAAATCTCTCTGTATTAAAATGCAGAAATGGGTTAATTCACAGTGTGCTAATTTGGGGTCAGTATTCTCCACCTCCCCCTCAGGGAACAGGGCTAGAAGAGTTGAGTGTTTGTGGCTGGAGAACAAGATCTGCCTCCCTGGCTAACTGTGCTTGGCGTTTCCTGTAAGGAGTTATGTTTTTAACATCTGATTGTACCAATTAGTTGATTTGCCCATTGATACAGGATGGAGAGAGAGAAGAATGTCACGGCGGATGCATCTTTGAAGCAGGATTCTGCTTCTTAGAGTTCTTCCATCCCCCACTTCATGCTTCATCCCTGTTACTGCCCAGTGAGCTGAGACTGCAGAGCGAGTGTTTCTTGTGCTGGTTCATCTTGCATGTCTAGTGTATATATTATACATGGTGTAAAGATCAAGCTGCAGTACCTGGAAAGACAGTTTGTGTCATCACTAAGTAAGCTTCCAGCTATGTTGCAGCCATCCTGCCACTGAGAGGGTGTTAACAGTTATGAGTTTATCTGAAGAATTTAGGTCTGTAATTATTGCACTGAGGAAACCACATGTGAACATCATCACGCGCTGCTCTAACCACTGGCAAGTCAGTTAGCGGAGGGACTGGGGAGTGAGCTGAATTGGTTCCAAATGCTCTGGCACGGTGATGCTGAGAAGGCTGCTTGTTCTTCTGTAATTACTTCCTTAAATTTGGGCATCCGTCAAGCCCTAATGGTTTCCTTATGATTTGGCGGTTGTGTATCGGCTGTCATTGTGTCAGGAAGAAAGTCTCGGGTTTCTTCCAGCCGTGGATGTTCTCTCTTCTCCCCCTTGCGCTGTTGAATGACGTGCTCTTGCACGCGTACAGTAAAGGAAGGGGTCAGGAATCTGGCTGTGCTGAGAAAGACAGGGGGTCTGGATGTGAAACAAGGAGGAGGAGTGGTTGGGATCCAGAGGGGTTTAGTTTTATAACGGGGAGCTACCCTCTGCAGGTACTTATATCTGCATTCAGGGTCTTACAGGCAGAGTGGGTAGCAGTTTCAGGAAAGGTTGTCAGCCCTAACATGACCTGTGGCTGATGGGGAATCAGCTGGGGGGATTTACCAGCTCATGGATGTCTGCCTGGGAAGCACAGCAGTCGAAACGTCTCCTAGGATCCCTCTAAAAACAAACGAAATACCCACACTGTCTCTTGGGAGTGTCTCTTGATGTCAGAGTAAGGGGGCTGCATGTGGTGAACCGTGCTGTCTGGTGGGAGAGTGAGATTTGCCCAGGCTGGCCCATGGGAGGTGTGCTGTTGAAGAGGTGTCATGGCTGAAACTACAAACTGGGTCAAGACCTTGAAGAGAGTAGAGTGGAGTGGAGTAGAGTAGAGTAGAGTAGAATACAGTGTTCTTTGTTTACATAGAACAGAGTATTTCAGTTGGAAGGGACCTACAGTGATCATCTAGTCCAACTGCCTGACCACTTCAGGGCTGACCAAAAGTTAAAGCAAATACTTAAGGGCATTGTCCAAATTCTTCTTAAATACTGACAGACTTGGGGCATCGACCGCCTCTCTAGGAAGCCTGTTCCAGTGTTTGAAATGGTGTCAGGAAAACCAGGGTTAGGCACAGGCAGAGCTGTAGCTCAGATGTGGTTGCATACCATATTGCAAATAAGGTCCAACTTCCCCATGGGAGGCTACATACTGCAGCAACACAGTCACTAAATGCCCCTTGGCTCCACATCTCCGCAGTGTCACTGAAGCCAGCACTCTGCTCCTTGTCTTGTCTTGGTTTGGGGTGTGGCCTGAGAGACAAAACTCCTGTCTCACTGCTTGTTCCTGCATAACTTGATTTGATTTCCTGGGTTTTCTTGTTGTTTGTTTGTTTGTTTGTTTGTTTGTTTGTTTTTTGTCCAGGAGCACAGCAGGGCAAGAGGGGAAGCACTTTCTGGGGGACACAGCTCCTTTTGAGGCATGCCTCAGGCAGAGGTTGATGCATGTGCAAAGCAGATTCGGACAGAGCTGCTTGAGCACGATTGCTCTTTATTCACAGCAATCGCCCAACTGTTACACCAGCAAGGAGCCCTGCCTGCATTTCCCTCCGCTCTTTTCCTGTAGCATTAGGTTGTGTTTTAGCCTGCAGTAAGGTTCCTTATGCTGGTCTGGTGCAAGATTCTTGTTTTCTTTTGCACTGGCTGGTCCTGCTACTGAAATGGTGCCAGCTTTGTCCACCATCTCTTCTCTGTCCTGCAGACTTCATCATCTTTTACCTTACCCCCAACATCTGGCTTCTTGATTTTGCCTTTGGTAGTGACTCAGTGCTCTCTATTTGAGCTGTCTGAAATAAGAGCAGGCTTTTCTCCCATGTTTGTGCTAACCTCTGGAGCAAACCACGTCACTTTAGTGATATTGCTAATGTCATGCCTTGTATCTTGTCTGAGAGAGGTGGGAAGCTGTTCAGAGGCACATAAATACAGCAATTTCATGAGCCCACAAAATCAAAAGGAAGCTGTCCTGAAACACCAGGAGGGCTTTTCCCTGAGAAATTCTCATTGGTTTCCATCTATGTTCTAGCAGTTAGTCTCTGTAATAGTGTGCAACTACCAGAGCCATAATTTACATAAAAAATAAATGGTAAGGACCTGATCCTGCCTTCCACATTCCCACGAAGGAAGATTGCGTTCCTCTGGGAGTGACTCCCTGGAGATCAGGACATTTTTCTACTTAGAGGCAAGTATGGTGTATGGCATCTGCCCAACAACACCTTGAAAAACAAAATGAAACAACATATTTAGCATATTGGATATATTATGCAGTCATCCAAATTAGTGATTTGAAATTATCTGGACTAGATTATTCTGCCTATATTTAATGTATGATGGAATGCAGTGAAATACATCTGTTTTCATACTGCCTACTACCTTCTTGACAGCTTGATAGAGCTTTATGTCTGCATGTTCTAAGAGCTTGAACATCTGGGCCTATGTATAAAAATTGAAGCCAAGCCTCTGACTGAGAAATCCAAAACACCCCTATTTTCAGAATGTGAATTGCTTGATCTTGTAGTAGAGCTCCCCTGGCTTCACGTGTAAGTGGCTGCTGTATTGATCCTACCCAGGGATGGAGATGGAGGACTTGTCCTTTCCTTCACTTCATTCTCCCAACAGGAGCTGCCTGCAGCTGCAGCACATCTGTGAGCTCTTCCTCATCATTTTGGATCACATCATCCGTGATGAGCTCGTGTCCCAGTGAAGCCCAGCCAAGTGCTCAGGCAGGAGGTGGAGTGTGCGTGCTGGCGAGAGACGGGCTGGGGGTTTCTTTGTTCCACCAAGCCCATAGTCCCAGCCTTTGGAAGTTGAGTCCCCTTTGGTCTCATCCCCCTTGTGTGGATTTGAAACATTTTCCTGTGGCTGGAGAGTGTGGAAATGCATCTCAGGCTGCCTTGGAGGCAGACAAAACTGTTTGCTTTTGGGATTCTTTTGGGGACAAAAATGTGGCTGCACTGTTTTTATATTCTGAGCGCGAACATGTGTTGTGGAGCAGAGAAAGCCTTTGGTAATTGGTACCATTAGCCTCTGGGAGCATAATCAGTGCAGTAATAATAAAATTGGCATCAATAAGAGAGGTTTTATTCTGCTTACGTTGTCTGGCAAAGAGAGCAGTGATCTATCAGGGCAGGGAGTGAACAAGCACGTCCCAAATTAACAAAATTCATCAATGCACTGCAGCCAAGACAACCAAAGACAGTCTGGACTGCTCTTGCTGAGCTTCTGAATGAGCTGACTGCTGAAGGGAGAAGCTGGTGTCTTGTTTGAGAACTTTGTATCTCCCAAGTTGTTTTCTTGATTAAACATCTTCATTAAAAAAACCCCAGATGTTACTTCACACAGTAGAGGAGTATTTCAGCTGATGAAAGGCCAGAGGAAAGAGGGAAGTGAATTTTGGACCAAGGCAGCACTGCAGGGAGACAGAGCACCCTGTCCTGCAGCTCGGTTCAGGCCAAGTGTGAGGTTCCCCAGAGACTGCATGGCTGTCTGATGGGAAGCGTGTGTAATGAGGACCCTCAGGTTTCTGGTGTGGCCTTTGTGTGCGCTGTTGCTTTTCAAATTGCAAATCAAGAAACTCTGCTGTGGAGGCAAAATAGTCACCATGCAACAAAAGCTGCCAGTGACTTAATAGGCACGTGAGGACTGGCTAGAAGGATGATCCTCACAGCAGCAAATAAATCAGAAAGGACTTTAGACATGGGAAGTGCATTTTGGAGAGGAGAGGGTGTCCTCGCTCCTCAGGAATAAACAATGCAGTGCATCCACTTCCGTGGGGGAGAGAAGTCACCATACATAGGTTTCTTTAGTAGTTTGCAAGGGAGAAAGATCAGGAGATCCTGGGATGATGTGCTACAGGCTGTGACTTTGGTTAACCCTTCTTGACTGGGGCAAGTCCATTTGCTGCTGGTAATTTCTGTAAAAAATGAGGGGAGAACTAGGGAGTAGTTGTGACGATATTCACCAGCTGTGAGACAGTATTTGAATGTGGAAAGCTTGTAAGTGATGGGGGACTCCCTGCTGTATCTTTAGGAAATACAGCTCTGTTCAAGCTACTTTCTTGGACGGTGAGAAAAGCTGGTCAGATCAAAAAAAACCCCATGTCTAACTGGGGAGGGTTGGTAGCAAAAATAACTCCAGACAAACCTTGATTGATTTTTCTAGCTCCTGGGAAACTCTATGAGGTGAAGCTGGTGGCATTCAATAAGCACGAAGATGGTTATGCAGCGGTTTGGAAGGGCAAAACAGAAAAGGCACCTGCAACAGCAGTAGGTGAGGAATGCCCTTCATTTGTTGTCTGTCTCTTCTGCTTGGCATGTGGCTTCAGAGGAAGGGTAGAGGTAAAATTACAGAAGGTGGACTTGAAGGGGGACAAAACAAAAATGGGGAAGGTCGCAATATAAGGAAACTCCTTTTGACAGTCACTGCAAATTGCATTGGAGGAATTATCCTGGGAAGGAGAGAAAGGAGCAAAATATCCCCCTTCTCATTAGGGTTGTTCTTATAGTGGGTGTGGATGGCCTTCACTGTGTTCTCTCTGGCCCCATTAGTGGCTCAGGGATGGTCTTGGAAATGCCAGATAACCTGGGTTTCATATCTTACGTTACAAAGATTTGCAGATGTGAATTAGCAGCATGCCAGGCTTTTTGCAGTGTTACAAAGAAGGTAAAAGCTCTCAAGACCTAAGCCCCATTCTCAGCTCTGCCAGTCTGTTGTGGGATGGTGATCAGTCTGGGCTCCTCCTTACCCTGGCGTGGGCCTGGCGGGTGGGCAGCTTTGAAGCTGGCCTCCACTGCTCCACAGTAGCACACCACCACCTTGGTGCATGGATCCTCATTGTGATCTTTCCCACACATCAGGAAAAGTGTGGCCCAGAAGGGCTAAGCTGGGCATCTAGGCTTACTCTGGAGTCCAGCATATTGGTACAGGCTTCACAACCTAGACCTGCTTTATTCCATGTTTTCTATGTCTGTGATTGTTGTCCCTTGCCTTACTGTCATGTACGTCTCCACGTGTCTCTTCTCTTTTTGTCCTGCACCATAGATCCCCCTGTGCAGAAGGGTCCTCCGCTGCCTCCAGTCCAAGTCTATGCCGAGTCCAACAGCTCAACTTCCATATGGCTCAGGTGGAAGAAACCTGACTTCACAACAGTCAAAATTGTCAACTACACCGTGCGCTTCAGCCCCTGGGGCCTGAAAAACGCCTCTCTTGTTACATACTACACAAGGTAAAGAGGGATGCTAAAGGTTCATCTGCCATGTATCACTCGTGTCGGGAAGAATCACAGGGCAGGAGGAACTTTCAGGGAAGCTCCAGTACTGAGCAATATCCTGGGTGTTTCACATGCTGGAAACGTCTGCCTTGGTCACAGATATATTCAGAACTGATGAAATGTGGCACTGGGGCTTGCCTATGACTTGAATACCAAGGGATCATCTACTGGCTGGCCTCTGCATCTTTTCTGCTCTGGTTGGACCTTACATGCTTGTTTTCCTGTTAATAACATAACCAAGTGCAATTATGGCCAGTCTCAAAGCATTCATGATTTGCGAGATGGTCCTCACAAATTAGGTTTAAAAACTGCTAGAATTTAAGCAGTTACAATAATTTGGTGGTGTATTTTAAATCTGGATTCCTGTGCAGGTTTTCAGCATATAACCAGGTTGTGTTTTCAGGCTTTTCTCTGCACGTACATCAGAAATGGTCCTGGAGGCTGAGAACCTAATTTACTGTGTATTTGGGAGCTGAGTGCTCTTGCATTCACATGACTGCAGGAGATGAAGCTTTAGGTGAAAAATCAAATACTGTAGGAGTTAGGATGATCTCTTACAATGCTCCTAGTAAGGTACAAAGGCAGCAGTGGGTGGGAGAACCATCTAGTTTTCCTGGCCTTGTGAATATGTCCTCTTTTGACAGCTCGGATGAAGACATTCTCATCAGTGGGTTGAAGCCCTACACCAGGTATGAGTTTGCCGTGCAGTCCAATGGTGTTGGCATCGATGGGCCCTTCGGCAGCGTGGTGGAACGGTTCACCCTTCCTGATCGTGAGTGTTTGCAGGAATTGAATGCTGATTTCTCCTGGCTTTCCCTGAGTCTCTATCAAATCCTGCCTAACGCGCCCCTGAGAGATGTGGTGATCTCAGGTCACCTCCAAGCTCTGGTGTCCCTGAGTATATAAAAGGCTGAGAGCTGCTAAGCATCCTGGTGGCTTTCCCAAGCCCATCAAAAGGGTGCTGCTTTGTAAACAGAGGTGAGTATGTAAAGAGAATTAGGGCAACAGTTGTTGTTACTGTGGGATTCCTCTGGGTTCAGAGAAATCCTGCTTATCAGGGAGAGCTCCGGTGTTCAGCTTCACATAGCAGGAGTGATGGGCTTTGGAGGGGTTGTGTGCCCTGCCTCTAGCTGGGACGAGCTGCAGTTCAAGCAGGGCTTTGGGGAAGAAAGCAACAAGGAGCAGGGGTGTGCTAGGAATATTCTTTCAAATAGGACCAACACTGCACAGTCTCAAACTGAGCTGGATGGCTTCAACAGCCTCCTCTCTGCGCTCTCCACAGCTTGTTTGGATGAGATGTTTGGCCACCCGGGTCACTTAGCATTTTATGCTTGCAAACATGTCTGTGGCACCACTGAGAAGGATTCAGAGAAGGCACAGAAGAGTTGTCGTGCCCTGCAGGGTGAATGCTCTCCTCTTTTCTGCTGTTCACTCTGGGTCTTTGCTTGTCAATTCCAGGTCCCTCAACTCCTCCATCTGATCTGCGGCTGCACCCGCTCAACCCTTACGCTGTCCAGGTGCACTGGTGCCCCCCTGTTGAGCCCAATGGCATCATTGTGGAGTACCTCATCCTGTATAACGCCAACAACACGCAGCCAGATGACATGTGGACCTTGCTGACGCGAGAAGGTGAGCCTCCTCGAGGTACCCTAACACCTCACCAGGTTCTCCTCCTCCTGCCTTCTTCCCTGCCTGTGGAGCCCTGGTTGGTCAGTCCTGCTGCCATGATCTTTGTCTCCCTTTGAGCACATACAAACAAACATTCAAGAGCTCATGCTGCCAGCTTTCTTGGAGCATATGCTGGGCCCTGCTCCTGGTCATATAGGAGAGTCCAGGGACATGACAACCGAGAGACATGAGATCATAGATGTCTAGGGTTGCAATAACTGTTATCATCCAGCAAACATCCTGCAAATACAGGCTGGCAGCCAGTAATTCCTAGGAGAACGTATGCCAGCAGCACCACGTGTAGTCTGTATCATCAGCTCTTTAAGCAGCAAGTTCATTAATACTGAAGAGGTGTCTGAATTACCTCTTAGAGTGCACGACACAAAATCCCTCACTTACAAGGGCCCAACAGAATTCCACTGCTGCTTTGCCGCAGCCTCTGAATACTCTTGAAACTGCACAATTTAAACCTCTTTCGACTTGCTTTTGATCAGGAAATATCTTCAGCACTGAAGTGCATGGCCTGGAAAGTGATACCAGATACTTCTTCAAGATGGGAGCAAAGACGGTCGTGGGATCTGGTCCCTATTCAAACGTTAAGGATGTGCACACCCTCCGGGAGAAGTTGTCTGGTACGAATTTCCTCTTTCTCTCAGTGCAGGAAGCGAGTTGCGTTGCTGAAGACAGCGATTTGGCAGCAGCAGCATTTCTGTTTGCCAAGCAGTTGCCTGATGCCACCGTGCAGGCTGTGAGATACATCAGTGTGTAGGCCAGTGCAGAGGATCACGGCAGAGTCCTCAGATGGGCAGCTCCAGAGGCCTTGGGCAGCTCCAGAACCCATTCCACAGCCGAACTTCAATTCTCTTCCCCATCCCAGCTCCTATGGAAGGGCACATGCCACCTGCATCTTGCTGCCTTTCTGTTAGGCCTGTGTAGCATGAAATTAATGAAGGTGCATAGATGCCAGCTTGCTTTAAGCTGCTCTAAATTGTCACTGCCAAGTAATCCTCTTCCTTTATGTGCATAGAGGCATCACCTATTGGTTTTAGTGAAGCTGGTGCTTCTCTGAACTTGAGACACTTTGTACTTTCTTCCTGCTAGCAGCTGAAATGCTGTATCTGTCCTTCCTCTACTAGATGTTCTGGATATCCACTCTGTCACAGGAATCATTGTGGGAGTCTGCCTGGGGCTGCTCTGCATACTCTTCTGCATGTGTGCCAGCTTCCGCAACAGCAAGCAGAGGTAGGTGTCACTTCGCCTTTGTGGGAGCTCAGAGAGGCTGATGTGGGAGACAAAATACATTGTGAGCTGCTTCCTCGTGTTCAGCTGGGCTGTTTGAGATGCTGTGTATGACATCAGTTAATAGAAAAACTGAGTCTTGAGAGTGCTAGCTGGCTAAGGAGCATACTTAGTATAGTCTTTTCACTTACTTTCTCAGTAGTTTCTCTTTGCACTGTTAGACTAATAGGATTTTTTTCAGAGAAAGAAAAAAACAAAAACAAGAGAACAGAAAAAACATGATTTGCTGGATTATTACGTGTCTGTTAGCGTGGGCAGTATTTTGCTTCTGAGGCTGGACAGCTCTAAGGATATTTGGAAAGGGCTTGTTAACTTCCAGTTGGGAAAATGATGAAAGAGTTCCCAGTGTGTGGCAGGCTGGTTTGCAGGGGACTGGCCCCTACTATTCCAGGCGTTTCAATCCAGCCACAAGCATTTGGAAAGACCATGACTGGAAATCAGCTTAATTGTTGGGAAGAGCTTTGAGCTGACAGCGGATCTCAGGACTAGGAACAAGCAACATCTGAAGTCTTGTCCTGTAATGTGGCCACTAAACTTTTCTGTCCTGTTGGATCTCTTATCTGTAAAGCAGAGGTGACAGGAGTGACACAGCTCCCCATGGGCAGGAGAGTGCTTGCTATAGTGCTGGGACTCCCGTTGTCTGCTTTGCATCCAGCAGCATGCTTTGTATGAGCTTTAGGATTAGTGAAGGTGGTGAAGAGATGCACCTGGGGAGAGGCTGCTGCAGCGAAAGCTGTTGCAGTAGGATGTGGATAGAAGATCCCCTTCCTCAGGAGCGTCAGGGCAGGGGCTTGGGCCTGGTTGTTTCCAGAAGGACAGGCTGAGTGGCCTGGAGAGGATCACTTTGTCAGTCTGTGACTGTTTGGGATAGAGGAAAGTGAGGCTCATCAGAGATGTCAACTCTTGCTTGTTTTCCCTCAGGGAGGCCTTGCCAGGCCTGGATTCCCAGGCAGCTGGCAACCATACTTATTACCACCGGAGCCGGCAAGGGGTGGCAGCTCCCAGTGCTACCCTGGACTCACATGAGCTGGAGTCCCTCATGTCCCCGCTCCCGGAGGATGCACCCGTGTCCCTGGGGGACATCACAGAACTGACTGAAGTGCACAGCCTCATCCACACGAGCCTCTCTGAGGACATCGTCCATGGGAAGAGGAAGGTGAGGACCCACGCAGGGGGAGACTGGGCTCCCACCCTGGGCAAGAGCCTTTGTTCGGTGTGTTGCTGCTGGGAAGCCAGGGTCTGATCCTGTCCTGGCTCTGCAAGGTGCTGGTAGTCTTGGCCTCAGGCTGGTGCTGAGCGGCCCCGCATTTTCCTCTCTCTAAAAACTGACTGGCTCGGTCCTGGCTGTCAGATCCAAGGTTGGGATCCCCCTGCCCTCTGCCAGCCCTTTCCATCCCCTGGGACAGTGACCGCTCATCCCCGGAGAAGCAGCTACCAAACTGCTGCAGGAAGCTGCACTGTTCCTGTTGCTGTGGCATATAGATGGTGTGAGAAAGCGTGATGTCTAGAGTAGATGCTTTCCCTTCCAGGATACTCCTTTGCTTAGAGTAAAAGCAGCCTTGTCCATAAATAGCATAGTCACTGGAATACTCTTGAAGATATACAAGAAGTGAAATTGTGTTTTATTTGTCAGCCTTATTTTTTGAAGTAATCTTTTCCTGCCCTGCTTGGTTTGCCTGACATTGCATTGTCTTTCATTCCTCCCTGCCCATTTCCTCTTTCAAGCCTGCCTGAAACATTTCATTCCATTAGGGAACCTTTAATTGGCCTAATTTAGTTAATCTGTTTATGTCTCTCTTTGTAGCCCAGGGAGAGCATGTAAAGTAATTAGGAGGTTCAGTAAAACAAATGCATTGTGAACGCATGGGATTTCACGTTTGCATCGATGTTGTGCTCGTGTGTCACTGGAGGGAAGGTGAGTTCAGGATACCGGCCTAACCGTGAGACCCGTCCTCGCTGCTGGTGGCAGAGCAGGTACAATCTTTTGGAACCACAACGTCTTCTGCTGCCTTTAATAGTCCTGCGAGCTGAAGCCGTGCTCTTGGCCTTCCCCAAGTGCTGTGGCAGATCAGTGCTCAGCTGAAGGAGAGGTGGTTTGCAGCCAAGCCACATCTATGGATTTTGGTGGAACGTGGCTGACTGTCTGGACCCAAGCCGAAGACTGTGAGGAATTTCCTACAGCTCTTTCTGTTAAATAAGGAACAAATGTTTTCAGTGATGGTGACTTACCCCGAGAACAAGTTGGGGTGAGGGGAAGCTCCCTCCCTTGGGAGGCCTTTCTGGAGGCAGCATACCCAGATCTCTCTTCCAAAGCAGCAATCCAAAGATTTTCATGTATGCAGAGCAGGGGCTGGAGAGGGCCGTGCCAAGGCCTGGTTACTTGGGGCTTAGTCTGAGAACTCGAGGGCCCCCAGTGTCTATCACAGAGGCTGGCAGTGTCCAGCAGCAGAGTTATGCTCAGAGATCCCAGCTTTGGGGAGAAGGACGATTCTGGCTGTAGCATCTTTGCCTCTGCAGTTGGCTGGAGAAGAGCCACCGAGAGTTAAATTCACTGAGGATTTTTGCCAGCAGAATAAAGAGCTTGTTTTTTTTTGATGGGTGTGGATAAGGAAGCAAGGATCAGTGAGGAGCATCCACACACAGCCACCCAGAGAGCAGTGTTGTCACCCGTGCCGACCAGTGAGGATGACCTGATGGATGAAGGAGAGCTCGAGTGGTGGTCGGGAGCAACAGGCTGTCGTTGCTGGGAGTAGGCACTGGAGGGAGATGTGCTCCCACGCAGGAGGCCCTGTCCCTCCACTGCCCAGTTCCTGCTGGAAGTGCCACCTGAGCCAGCCCTGGGCACCGCTGCATCCTCCCCATACTCTGATGTGTATATTCAAGGGTGAAAAGATTTAGGCCAAAACCATCTTTTTGCTGCAATTGCCAAGAGGCCCCATGTCTGGATGGCGATGTGATTTTACCTGACTGGGTGGGCAGAGAGTTGGACAGGTCTCACAGGCACGGCCACAGCGGCACACACATACCTGGGTCCCCACAACAGATGTAAATCAGAGCGAGGGGCAGCTGGGGGTGTGTACCTCTCCCTGCTTGGAGTTAAAATGCTACTATCTAAGGCCCAAGAGTGGGTTGTAGGTTCCCTGGGTTGTCTTGTACACTGCAGAGAGCTTCTTCCAGCAGTCATTTCAACTAGGCTGCCAAAGCCCTGCAGACCCTGCCCGAGTGTGGCCAAGAGCCACATCCTAGAATGACCAGCTGCCTTCGCTGCCTTCTCTTTTATTCTCTCCTGCTGTGTGGTTGGGGGTGTGAAAACCCGTGGCAAGGAATGTGGTAGAGCCACAGGGAAGAGAAAATCCTTGCGGAATTCCTGGTCCAGCCTGGGAATGGGAAGCTCCCCAGGCTGCTCTAGGTTGGGTACTATCACTTGTATCCCTAGTCAATAAAGAAAGGGACTGAGAAATGTCTCAGGATTCCCTTTTATTTAACAGCATACCATGTCACCACAGAGCTCAGGATGTTGGTGGGGACACGGACTCTTAGTCTGATGCTGCTGCCGCTGTTGGGCAGGTTTTTATAGCTGTGATGCCAGGGAAGTGGCAGCTCCAGGGCTGTGGGACCTCCAGTTGCCTGCTTGCCTCTCCATCCTCAAGTTACCCTCCTATAACCTGTTTTGTGTTGGGTGGGTGGCACTTGCCGTTAGCAGTCGCTGTGATAGCTGCTCCCCTGCTTGTCGGCTTTTCACACGCTGGCTCATTACTTAGCATTTCATGGATTATTCTTTATTGGTTTTATTCTTGTGGCAGCCCAAGGTTCCAGTGGAGATCGGAGGCTCCGTGTTGTTAGGAGATGGACAGTCCCTTCTTTGTGTTTGTACCTGTGCCATGAGCAGTCAGCAGTGAGTGAATGTCCCTTCACAGGTGTGGGGACTGAAGAACAGTGAGACCAAGGGCAGGAAGACTTCAACCACACTGAGATTTGAGCTGACTCCTGGAAAGAACCGCGGGCAAGGGTTTTGAGGAGACCCCTTGATGGTTTTCAAGTCAAGATCACAACGTTCCTTCAAACGTAGGGCTGTGATTCCTCTTGAGCCTTTACAAGTACTACTGGGGGTGCAGGATTGTGCAGATGGAAGGTGGGACAGACTTTGTGCTGCTGGACAGCCCCCAGAGCCCCCCGGCCACCCTGCCCCTGCCTGCAGGACAGAGAGGTGCTGCTGCAGCCGAGCTGTCGGCACGGGGCCCGTCTGGGTGACAGGAATACGCGCGGCCATTTCACAGGTCCTTTTCCCTCCTTTCTGTGTGTCTCCCAGTGGTCACACACAAGGATTTGTAAATACACTGGCAAGTGATTTTCCTCTCTTGCTCTCTTCCCCTTTCAAGTGACCCCCAGACTGATGCCCTCAGTAGCCCGCGTTATACACGACACAGTAATGCACAGGCTGTGGTGGTGCAGCCCTGTTTCCCCTGACAGATGGACTGAGGATGATAAAATGGCTCTGCTCCAGACATCTCTGTCACTGTTGCTTTTGGGCCAAGCAATTTAGGGGGTGGGGGAGAATGTTAAAAAGCATCTGCTTTTCGTGGAAGACTTCAGCTTTTCATTGAATGAAGCCAAACCCAAGTTGTTCTGGCTTGGAGATGTTTGCCGTTGTGCTTCTTGCGAGCTGGAACCTTCCCTGCTTGCTGTCCCACTCCTTCCCTGTGGGCCTCCTCCCTGCAGGGACTGTATTTCCCACGGAGCATCCCTGTGACTCAGAGAGCCAAAGCTGTAATGCATCAGAGAACTTGGATATACCTGAGTTGTTTGTCATTTTCATGTTGAAATTTTTCTGTGTGGAAAAAAAGTCCCAATATTTTCTGAGACGTCTTAGATGAGAGCTGTGCTCCCGATGACAGCTAGCAGAGATTCTCCTTTATCTGGTGGGGGAGAGCTCTGTTGTGTTGCATCTTGTTCAGGGGTGCAGCTGCGGGCAGGGGTGCCTGTGTATTTGCATGACACAGAGTTTTCCTGCTCCCACTGGCTGTCATGCTGCGGTTCAGCAATGAATCCTTTCTCTCCACGATGACACCCTTAAAACCTGGGCACATCTGAAATGTCCCCAGCCCTGTTTTGCACAGGATTTCAAGCTAGTTTAGTTTAAATAACCATCCTCGTAAAACCGGAAAGGTTTCAAGATCAACATTTCCTACATGTTCATTCTCAGCTTGCATATTTGCATGAAATCATTACTTGTCACTGAAAAGGTAACATGAGCTAGGCACATTTTTACTAGTCAGAGTTTCTATGAAAAGGCTAAAATGAAAAGGCTTGTTTGCTTTGATAAGGATTTAGCTGTAATGGAAACACCTTTCATTGGAAGATGTTTTTATTAGTTTTCATTCTTGTGTTTGCAGTGAACTGACAAAGGGATTTTTCCCTCTTTAAATTAGTATTAGACTGACACTCCTTGCCTTTGTTATTCTATTGTAAAAAGCAAGAGAACATTTCCTTCCTTCAGCCATTCACTAACCCCCCTGTAGTAGAAAGAAATAGTATCATTTATTACACCAAAAGATACTGCTTAAAAAAGCAGAGAAGCTTTCAGGCACACAAAACCTTCAGGTCTGTGGTGAAAACAGACCTAGAGTTAATTGCCGCTGCCCAACCTTAGAGACTAAGCCTCGAGAGGGATTTTTTTTTTTTTTTCCTCTCAAACATAATATGCTTGAACAACATGTGGGATATAGGCCATGTTGTGTGGCTGATGGGTTTTTCTGTTTGTTGAAAGTTGCAAACTGGTACAAAACAAGTTTGTTCTTCATTGCAGCCAATTTCAGCCAGAGCTGAACAGGCTGTTCCCAGAGTCATCAAAACCTATGTAAACATGGCAGATTGACATTTCCGCTAACAGATGGTCCATTGGGGATTGCAGTAGAGCTGCCTGTTTCTTTCCACGTTTTTTGGTATTCACAAGATGCCTGCAAGAAGGTTTTCAAGTTTGCTCTGTGTGTGTGTGTATGCATATGATGCTCAGATCTTTCTGATGGCAAATATGCATGTAAGCATCTATAATAGGACACACATTTGTGTGCATGTGTGCATATTTGTGTAGGTTCAACGCTGAAATTTCCAGGCAGTATTTGCTCAGTAACGTATGTTCCTTGGAAAAGGCACAGAAGCCATCAGTCAGCGATATAGCTGCAGAAAGCCTTTCAGATGGCAGCAGAAGCAAATTGAACACGTTCCTTGACTACTTGCATCTAGTGATATTGTGAGCTGTGTGTGATCGCTTGGTTGATTTCTTGCTATTAAAGTGTAGTTTAGTGATTGTCCACTTAGAAAGAGAGCAATTAAGGAATGCTTTTGGCTCAGAATATATGGTTGAGGATCGCAGAGAGAGGAATGGCAAAGACACTGCCTCCAGCATCCAGGCCTAAATTAGCAAATGCTTGATATCCGCAGCGCTGGGCTTGGACTTCACTGTTCTGCAGGGTGCTGTCACATAGGGGCCCTTTACTCCTTGTTTTCTTAAGGTTTGATCCTGAGGCAGCAGCAAAGCTCCTAGGGCTCGGGGTTGGTGCTGGGATGTAACACTGCTCTGTCTCCTGCAAGGTGTGGAGCCCCTTTGGTGCTTGAGTCAGGGTGGACAGGGAGCGCTCAGGAAAGGCTCGGTCAGCCCTTCAGTGCATACATGAGCGCTTTAATGCGCCTTCTGCCAGCACTGACAGCACGAGGTAGCATTTACTTCTTGCTAAATAGCTGACTTAGGAATGCCTGGCTTACATACAACATCTGGTCGTGTATTTCTACCTAATTTCCAGCCAGATGGACTGAGGCACAAGGAGGTCAAATGACTCACACAAGGTCAGGCTGATGTCAGAAATCTCCTTGCCATCTCGGCCGGATTCGTGCTACGTTGACTGTTGTTGGAATGGATCCGGCCCAAGTAGCGCCCACATATGCTGAGCTAAAACCTGGGCTTCTCCTTCCTGACAGTCAGCAATAGGTGGTTAATGGATTTGAATAGATGTGCTGTGTATCTTCACGTGACACAGCTATCATGCTCACAGCACCAGTATTCTGTATGCACACGCGTGCACTCGTCGTTGTCTCAGGTCAGGATTTCACTTCAGCCTTGTGAGGGCCTCTCACTTCTAGCCAGGCAACATGTAACATCCATGGAACAAGCACAGAGATAACTGGCTCATGTCTTCCTTAAGTCTGAGCACATGTATGTGTATATATGTATGTGTGTCAGTAGCAAGGCTGAGCTCAGGTATATGCAGGACAGCCCAATAAAATCAGAACCTGGAAAAAATACTGTTCTGTCTGTGAACTAATAGTCTGAGCTGTTAAATAAGTTCAGCTCTTAAAGGCACACATTTCCCATGCACAGAGGTGTGCATTCAACAGTTTATTGCAAGGGGAAGCTGAGAGAACCCAGAACAAATTGCGTTCAGCCCATATAATTTAATTAGATCTACAAACAAGGTAACACTGGTTGCCCAGGGGATTTAAAGCTGAGCTAAGAATTGCTTGGTGGTCTGTTGCAAAAAAAAAAAAAAAAAAAAAAAACAAAACAACCTAAAAAAATAAGGCCCCCAGTTTTGTGCCTCTATGTTGATGGGGAATGGCAGAGTGTTTACCCAAGCCTCCAAGCTTAGAGCAGGAAATCTGTTTGCACTGCAGCACGAGCAGCTTAGCGTTGTCTTCAGCTCTTATGGAGCACGCGTGCCAGTGCACGCAGGTGAGGGTCCATCTCCACACTGCAGAGCATCCCTTGTGCCAAAGCAAATGCCATAATCGTTCCGCTCCAGATTTCCACCGTCCCGGTTCCTTTCCAGCTTTGCGGTATTTTTCAGTAGGCTCATACTACTCTGGGCTGTTTGCAGCTTTGCAGAGAGTTGATTTCAGTGGACTTTTAAAGGATGCCTTGTGCCATGATATACCTGTTGGCCTCAAAATTTGAGAATCAGTGGAAGGTGCCTTACGCGACCAGATTTGAGCCATCTGGCAAGTTTTACCCACTTGCTCTGCATCAGACCGTGTAACAGAGCAATAAAGCCTGTTCCAATGCAGCGACTGTGTGAGCCCGTTGCAGCAAGCATTTTTATTTTAATGCCATCAGAAGTGTTCTCCACATTTAACTTATGTCTTCCAACACCATGATATTTTTCCCAACTTGCACTCTCCTTTTTCAAGCTGCTTCTCATTTCAGGATTATGAGAATAAGAATCGCTATCTGTGATAATTGGATCTTTTCTCCTCCCACTTTTCTTCTGCAGTCTTCATGGAATAAATCAGCCAACCAGCCCTGGACAAACAGCATAGCCAGATACGGGGACACTATCACAAAAGAGCCTCTCTCTGCTGTGAACGGATCACTGAAGCTCCCTTCCAGCACAGGACAGAAGCTTTTGTTACAAGCTCTGGTTTACGATGCCGTGATGGTGGGTGTCTTTGGTGGTTTATTGACTTGTGTGTTCTGATGTGTTTTTTTCCATTTATGCTCCCCATCTCCTTTTCTCCTTTTCGCAGCATAGGAGGAAATGTTTCCTTCTCTGAGCTAGCTTTAGTTGGCTGATCATGGGCTTTACTTTTTTTTTTTCCCTGGGTATAGGAGTGTACGCTGGTGAGACTGATGGGGTTTGAGTCAAAGCTGTTTGTTTTTTCCGAGCAGCGCTCAAAGCCTCAGCTCTCCCCTGATTTTCTGTCTTGACTCCACCCAGCCCTTGAGGGCCTGTGCTGTGGCCTTGTTCTTCTGGTGACGATCTAGTGGAGTCAGGCAGCTCCGTTGTCAGCAGGGTTGTGGCAGTCCCGGTTCCTGAGGACCTGTAGCCAGGCACCAGCAGTTTGCTTTGAATTTTTACTGGGGCTGTGCAGCCAGCAGCCTGCCGAATGAGTTAGGAGCTGCAGTGCTCAGCACAGTCATTAAGATCTACAGCGTGCTCACCTGAGGGAGGGATCGCGTTTTTGCCTGTAAGAGGAGTCAAAGATCAAGGGTTGATTTAAACTCCTTCTCCAGATAGGGTAGAGCAATTTCCACTGCACTTGTCGTCTTTATGTGGGTGCAAAGATGGGGAGGAAATCCTGTTTCTGATATTGCTTCATTGGAATAAATATGCACTGCCACGTTTGGGAGAGTCTGTACAAGGGTTGTGATGTGATGTCTGTGCCACAGTCTCAGCAAAGCAAGCTGGCACCTGCTCTGTATCAGAAGATTTCTTTAGTTACTGTTTTAAAAAGTTCACTTTCCACCCCCAGCAAATACTTCTAAGTGAGGTACCTATGTTTCCTTCGTAGATAGTAGTGTGAAAATCAATTATACACAGGATGTAATTAACATTGTGGATAGAGTTAAGACGATGTTTTACAACCCAATTACAGGGCACCATTTACAGCACAGCTTACCCATCAAGATTTGTCAAGAAAAGGAGAAGAGTGTTAAAATATGTAAATGATGCACAAAGTTGGCTTCAACAGAAAACTCAAATTACACGTGGGATATCACTTCCATACTTTGAATTGTTTCTTGCTATTAAATCACACTCAGCCCAGAATCTGAGTGCTGATTGCCTAGAGAGCTCTTTGTGAGCTTCCAAAATAATTTGTCTGTTAAATTATTGAACAATAATCTATCAGAACGACCTGCTTGTAAACCAGATTTGTGGAGCCTGCACTCCACTTAAACACTGCGGAGGAGAACTGGTTGTTTTCTTTCTGAATTCAAGTGCTTGAATTTACATCAACTTTTGCAAGCTGTGACCAGGGCTCTAACGAACAAACATTTTGTGATATGAAGCCAAAATTAAACCAGGGAAGTAGAGGGGAGCCCTGCTATCTAGTTGTGGGTCTGTATCATGAGCTGTATCAGAAGCCAGTTTCCTAGAGTGCTGCCCACTTGCCCTCTAGAAATCTGGCCCTTACTACAGAAATAGACGGGTCAGTTTTGAAAATTGTGGTTTTTAACAGAGGCTTGGAGGAATGGTTGCTCCAGCCTGCCAAGAAACTGCGGGCAAATCACTTCACTCTCTTGGGACTTGCTTTCCCATATGTAAAATAGGAATAATGATCCTGAGGTGATTTGAGATGCGTTTTAAGGCTTCAGCTCTGAGAAACATATCAAGATATGTTAATAGAGGCGTGTGTACATCCCATTGCACTCTGTGGAATTAAAAAGAAATACATTTCTGTGCTTGGTTGGGTCATAGCCTCAATTATCTGAATTTCATTTACTTTACCTTCTCTCTTTTTTTTTTTTTTTTTTTTTTTTTAAATTTTTCCCCTGTTTGATTAACAGAATGAAGCAAAGAAAAGCCACCCACCAGCCAACCTCCACCAAGTGGAAGCAGAGGTCATTGTCCATTCTGATTTTTCAGCCTCCCACAGAGACTACGACTCCCAGCTGCACACCCTGGAGAGCGAAGAGACTGAAACCGAGGACCAGGAGCCTGAAGAGCTCCCCTCTGGGGAGCTGGCTCTGCCTGGCTCTCCCAGCACCCAGCAGAACACGAGCCAAGGGCTGGTGGACTGCAGGGGCAATTCTGAGGTTCAGGCCCAGGACGAGCTGTTCTGTACCGACAGAAAGACTACCAAAACAGAGGCCGTTCGCATCCGTGGGCTCACCAACGGCTTCCACAAGCACGGGGAAAGTCTGGATTCAGTGGAGAGCGGAGATTCGGACTCCATCCAGGAAGGCAGTGGGGATGTGCAGCCAGTCAAGTGCCAATCCCTTTCCCCAGCCCCGGAGGAGGTCCCCCTCTGTAGTAACTCTGGTTTAACCAGTTCATCCTCAGCATCTGAGAGCATGGCATGTGTCCACAATCATTAAAGAGTGAACTAATCTGATTTTGATCATGGGAGAGCTAGAAGTGCTATGGGGGCCTGTCTCTGTGAGCTACTGTGTGCCCTCGACTCACTGAGCCCAGCAGGAGCTAAGGAGGTGCAGTATCTTACCAGAACAGGATTGGGACCTGTCAGCTGTACATATCGCCTTCAAGAAATCAGTAGGCAGGTTGGAGAGGGCCCGTCATCTTCCTGCTGAAGCTGATGAGTAACTCGGTGTTCAAGGGGGCAGCACTGAGCCATCTGCCAAAGTCTGACATGAAACCATGGGCTGGAACAGAGCCTTCTGCGTTAGACCAGGGTTGTCACTTCGCTGTAGTCCTTGAGGCGACTGGCAGGACGTCTTTTACTGCTGGGAGGAGGCAGGGTACACCGAGCGATTCTTCTCAACTGTCTCTTCACCAGGGAGCACCTTGGCACTACCTGCTGCCTCGCAGCGTCGGGATGGATTTTGTCAGAGGAGTCCCACAAGGGAGTGGAAGCCAACAGAAACAAATTCAGTGAGCTGTAACCACCAGCCTTTTCTGCCCTCCCGTGGTTAAAAGGATTATAAGGCTCTCTTTGTACGCTACCGCAGTAACTAGTACTAGCAGGCTGATGTAGTGGCCTTTTATTACACACTCTACGAGTGCCTCTAACAACTTGTACTATATAGAACCTTCTTCAGTGTCTGGGTCATTTCATCAACCTGGACTTTGTTTTCCATAGGTTCTTGTACCTAATATTTTAGGTACACATCTGTCCTTTTAATGTACAACATGTATTTTTATTTCCTTGGAACATCTTTATATTATTTAATTTTATAAAGTGGACTAGTGTGTGATGTAGAGTAGCATTTTTACTACTTCTCTCTTTCTGTATTTTTTTCCTCCCTAACAACACAACTACCTCATGTCTGTTGGAGAAAAACAAGCAGTAGACCTACTCTTTTGTTATAGTCCATTATAGGTTTTAACTTATTCTTATACTGCCTTTTTCTAAAGAATATGTTTGCACTGGTTGTTGACTCTTTTTTAATGCGTAGTGCTGCAGATCTGATGTCTCTCTTGCTTTGTTTCTAAGTATCGCTGTAGGACACCTTCCCTACAGCTGGAGAGTTGGGTTGTGTTTCTTTGTAGGACTGTGTTTTGCAGGAGCTGGCCAAAGGAAACTCCTCCATCTTTCCATAACAAGATTATACTAGCGAAGAGAAAAAAGAACCAACAATTGCAAAAGTAATTTGTGGTCTTGGGGACATCTGTTTCTTTTTTTGTGCCCAAGTGGAGACATCTCGTATGATTTTGATTTCCAGAGAGCAGCTCGCAGTCTTCTCTAGGCAGTGGACTTGCTGAAGGCTTTGGATGAACAAGTGAAATTTTCCAGTCACTTCTGAGAGTTCTCACTGAAGTGCTTTTGGTTGTTTGTTTGTTTGGGGTTTTTTTAAGAGCAGAGCACCACCAGAGCTTAAAAATTAAAATAAAATCTTTGGTCTCTTACCAGTCAGTCTGGTTTGAAAATCATACAGTGACTCTTCCTTGCTGATGCTGCTTGCTTACTGCTGTTGTGGCTCTCAGCCTGGCATTCTGGTGTGGGGTGAACTTCTTTCTACCTTTTCTTTAGCCCGTCTCTGCCCTGTTCCAGGCTTGCAGAGTCTGACTGCAAACACTACGGATTGGACCGGCTCCTCAGCAGTAACAAGGATCGGTAGCTCTTTTCATTGGGTGTTTGGTAAATGTTCTGCCTTCCTGGAGGATTCAGAGATCCAGCCATTTGTTTGTTTAAAAAATGAGGAAAAAGATGCCCATCTCTTTCTTTTCTTACTGGAATTCCCCCAAAGCAATATGGGGAGCTGTGTCCTGACCTGAGATCCTGTAAAAAACTTGGACTTTGTTTTTTTTGTGGTGAAATCTGGACTGCAATACTACTGCTTGCAGCAAGGAGAACCTTGCTCTAGCAACACCCTATCCCCGCTTCTGTTGTGAAGAGCCATGTCACAGTGTACCCTGTGTTTGGAGCCGAGCTGGACCGGTCCTTGCTATCTTCCATCAAACCCTGTTAGCTCCAGCTCTCCAGGGGAGGAGTACCTCCAAGCCTCCGTGTACCCTGTTGGGAAGGATATTGGAGCTTCCACCTCTCCCCATCCTACAGCATCTCCTCCCAGTGTGACACCGTGTTCTGGTGAACAGCTGTATTTGCAGTCCTTGCGCTTGCTCTGTTGCTCCAGCTGCTGCTTGGTATCTTGAGGAGTCTCAGCGACGCCGTTCCATGCTCTGAAGTGCTGTGACTCTGGAAGGCTGTGGCACAGAGCCTGGGAATCTGCCAGTGAGCAGTCTAGGCAGGAGTTAGTGTGTGTGCCCTACCAGAGTAGGAAGGTAGAAAGGCAAGAAATCATAACTGGGCAGAGGAAGTGCATAAATAACCTCCAGAACTCACTGCCACAGGACTTTGAAACGAATGACCCAGCAGGGTTACAGATAAGGCAGTGAAGTGTTATTGCGGGCAATAAGGGCAATTCACAGTTCTATGGGAGCGGATGCAATTGCAGAGGTGTAAATCCCCCAGCTGGGGAGTATCGGGCACTAGGTGTGGAGGGTGGGGGGAGATTTCTGCAGCTGGACCTCAGTTCGCAGTTAGTTTCATGGAAGACTCCTTGCTCTTCCCCGGTGACAGAACAGACCCTGTACAAGCCACGTTGCCGCTGCTGACGTGCAGAAAGGGAGAAGGACCTTTCTCTAAAAAGCTCGCTGCAGAGGAACCCCTGGTAATTTCTTTCACCTCCCAAACCAAGTTATCTGCCTGCAGGCAGCGCCTCGGCTGCCGGCGGCAGCGCTGGGAGGGCTTTGGCCAGCAGCTGGGATGACCAGGGCACCAGAGTTTTCCCCGCTCCCTGCTGTGACACTGTCCCTGGGGCAGGTCGTGGGCCAGCCCTCAGCTTTCCATCCAGGGGCCTGTGGGGATGGAGCCTTAGTCCGGCGGCTGATTTAGGAGTGTGCCACAGCTTCGGGGCCACTCCCTTGTACCTGCACCTTCTGCTTTGTCCCTACTGACTTTAGCAATCGTACAGCCGTGGGGTGAGCGTTGCTGAGCTGCCTAAGAGCTATCCCTGCCTGTCACTGAAGCCAATGCCAGCAGGCCCAGTGTGGCACCGCTCCCCTCCATCACCTTGGGCCGATCACAAGACCACCAAGTTAGTTACGTGCTCCAAGAGCTCTGGGGGAGATCCGGCAGAGTGCAAACAATTCTGCTTTTGCATCACAAAAATACTTCTGTCTCTTCACGCTGAGGCTTATTCTGACCTTGTTACATCCCACCGAATTGTACCAGCGCGTGAAACGGGCAGTGTTTGGATGGGCAAGTTCAGTGGTGGCCGGGGGCTGGTATGGCAGACCTCAGTCCCAGAAATTGAGGCCGTTCCCTCAGAGCCAAGAGATCAGCACTGACCGGCAGCAGCGAAGCTCTTCTCTGTACGAACGTGTGTCCACGCGGAGCGCTGGGTGTCCTTGTCCAACTCGGCTGCACTCCAGGTTCCCCCTGTCCTGAATACGCGTGGGACCTGCTAGTTTCAGCTAGAAATGAATGGAAGGAGACAGATAATACACATTTTATGTGTGAAGCTGAAACAACCAGTGCATATATTTTTTTACCATGAAATAAGTAGCTTTCTTGCAGATTTCTCACAGACACAAAAACTGTTGATACCTTTACCCATCATACTTAATATATGTTCTTACACATAAGGCTCCTTTCTCCCTTTTCTTCCTTTCAGTAACACTAAAGATTATTGCTGTTCAACATTTTGCTGGTGTATATTGTTTTACATTGTTAAGATGTCAGGTTTGTCTCACTGGCATAATTTTGTAGTATTAATGTTACTGTTTGGCTACACAACTGTATATTCCCCATGCTGCTGCGAAAGTCACAGTTCTCATCCTTTTCTTTCTTTTAATTCCTTGTTACATGAAACACATGACTTGGATAAAAATCTTCAACTTTTTGTTGATTTTATTTCTTACTTAACAGACAGCAAAGTTCTGGTTTAAATAGTTCAAATGAGATAATTTATAATGTAGGTTTTAAGAATTTTTTACATTACTAGCTAACAATCCTGAGATCAGCCCATGAAATACGCTGTGTAAGGAAACCATTTTAATAGAGCACTTATATTTGGTTTTGATCTGATTAGAAATAGACGTTTCGAAGAGATCATCGTGTCCTTTCTAATCAATACTTTTGTTAGAAAAGAAGTGTTTAGTCCAGCAGAAATCTACCATCTAGTTCTGTTATTGTACTCCCTTGCTTGTATTTGAAAATTAAATTTCATTTAATTTTCTGCACAGTGCGTAAGAATGTGTAACCAGAACTTGATCTTGTTTGAAGATTGTGTCTGTGTTTGGTTCCATGCTGTACTTAATTATAACTTACTTTCTTCAGAGACTGTTCTTACTCCACAAATACTCTTTAGTGTTAAAGTGTAAGAAGACATTGTCCTTATATTCCTTAACTAATGGGTTATTAATAAAATATTAAAAAAAAAAAAAAGAGTGGAATTGGTCTCACAATTTGGTCTGTTACAGCTCTTACTCTGAGAAAAAGTTGTTGTGGAAGGAGGATCCTGCTGCTGTGCTTGGAGTGGCCGAACCCTGGAAAATTTGCTGTTTGGTGCTGGGCCGTGCTCTGCCCCCCAAAACACAGAGGGGACGGCCGAGTTTGCTGGAGACAGACCCTCAAGGAGTCAGCGTGGCTGAAGGAGACCCGCATCTGCATTTCCTGGCAGCTCAGATTCAGCCTCCTGCTTCTGTGGGTAACTCGCTGCTGGGTGGATCTGAACAAGATCCTGCAGCTGGCCGAGCCGGGCGGTGCGGCGGAGCAGCTTCCACGGCAAGGGGGGTAGCTCGCTGGTGGGGGGCAGCAGCGGGAGCAGGACACAGGAGTCACGTTGGTGCCAGTTCAGTGCCTGAGCTCACAACCGTGGAGGTTGGGAATGTGGGATGACGGTGGGTGCCCGGTTCCTTAGGGATTCTTTTGGGATTTCAGGTGCGGGCAGCGTTTGGGTTCATTAGGCATTTCTTGATGCTTGCACATTTCTCAGTTTTGAACTGATTCCTATAAGAAAAAATATTTGTCTGGTTTCATGCTTCATCTTGCTGGGGATTTTCTTAGTGTGGAAAAATAAGCAGAAGCATCTAACAAATGAATGGCGAGACTTCTCGTGGATGGTGTGCTGGGCTGAGCACTCGGTGGCTTGCGTCCAGCAAGATTGGTGAGAGGATATCTGGCAGTGCCCGAGGACACACTATTAACCTCCCATGCATCTCCCTTTCCTCCTAGGATGTGTTCCCTACTTGAGTAGATAGTTTCCATTATTACTTTATGCTGCCAAGACTACGGAGCCATAAAATCTCATTTTATCTGCATTACAGAGGTAATAAATCTGCACTTAGCATAGTATTCTCTGATAGTGGTTAAAGGGAACTCTGTCAAGAGTGTGTAACCATGATGGGTCTTTAATGAGAGGTAACCCCACAAAATCAGCAAGGAAGGACCTTGGGGGGGCGGTGGGTGACTGCGAATCCCGCTTCCAGTTCTCCATTTGCAGCATGAGATGCTGGTGGGAGGCTGCTGAGAGGGGACATGGGGGTGGCACGGGTGGGCTGAGAGACGGACAGACACAGCAGTTACAGGGGAGCGGGGACCACAGAGAACTGAAGATAAAAGCGAGGTGTTTGTTTGTGTTTCTTTCTCTTCCCAGCCTTTATCACCCCGGTGTGCTGTGATGCAGCTGGCCAGGTTACTACAGCAGAGCCGGGGCTCGTGGGGGCTCAGGTAACTCAGGAAGTTACAAGTGCCCGGTGCAGTGCGTTGCCCAGCTCAACCCTCTGGGAAACGACGCAGCACGAGGTGATGGGCTGTGTGATGCAGTGAGGCGGCCGGGGAGGCTCCACGCTTGCTCAGCGGACACCAGTGGCGGGAACTGCATCTCGTGGGGACGGCTCCGGCCTCTCCTCCTCCGGCACAGCACTGGGGCAGCGGTTGCAGCAGCACAGTCGGGCCGCTGTGATTCACGTGGCAGGTACAGTTGCGTGGGTTTCGGCGTTCGTGCTGGTTCCCCACACTCCTTTCCACGGATGGCAAAACTGCCGTATTGGTGGCACGATTATTTTCAATTAATGGAAACACACGGCTCCTCCTCAGCCAGGCAGGTACGTGCCAGGAGGCATCCCCTCGGTGTGGTGACAAGCGCTGGCCCCTGCCACCACAACAACTGTGTCCTTATACAGCCAAAAGTAGACAGAAAAGCGTTTCTGCTGGAAAAAGCAACTTCCAGGAGTATGTCCCGGGGCTGTCCCACCATGTCTGGGATGACTCTCAGCTCAGTGCCTTGAGGAGGGTGCCATGATTTTGGCTCCCTTCCCTGTTGCTCACTGACCACGAAACAGATGCTAAAACCCCACATGTATGTACGGAAGCGAAAAGCTCCCAGGCTCATAGCAGACAGCAAAACCACAATTACACATAGAATAATAAATGGAGTGAATTCAGACAAGTTAATCTCCCACTTTATCCACTGAAACTACTAATGGTGTCTTGGGGACCTCAGTTTGCAGCTAATTGGTGTAAATCAGGAGCACTATTGGAACTGATGGAAATCTGCTGTGAAAGGGGTTTGGGGTGAGCAACACCCTCTGAGGCTGGTTCTCATGGAGGGTAACCTGATGGAGACGGAGGGCAGAGGGACAGACAGACCCTGTGCCCCTCTGTGGGGGGGAGGACGGAGGGATGGACCCAAAGACCGTTTTGCAGGGAGGGGGTTTGGAGCCTTGGTTCACGCTGGGCACTGCTGCTCCTGTAACCCTGCTGCTTTTCAAAAGGCTCCAATTACTGTTCGCAGTGTGATAAGCGAATTCCTGCCTCCACTACAAAGCAACTTTTTTAAGCCCTCATGGTTACAGAAGAGCACAGAAGAACAGGAGTGCTCTGGATCCCTGCTCTCAGGTGGCTCTAAGAGCCCTAAACCTGACTTCTTTTTTTAAAAAAAATTTCATGGCTTTGCGTGTGAGCCCCATTGTTTGGCAGGACTGCCTGCACTTGGGATTTTTGAATGTGACACCAGTGATGTCACGAGTGTCATCTGCAAGATGCAGGGCTGAACTTAGTGATGCCCTAAACATGTAGCTATGTGCCCCAGCTCCTGGGTCCCACCACTGCACATGGAAGCAAAAACACCCCGAATCTGTGGTTCCTGGGGGAAACAACTACAAAACAAATGGCGCTTAATTTCCCTTGGAATTCTTAATTTCCACAAGCCGTCCTCGGTGCTGATGGCATCCCAGGAGCTGCCACAAGCCAGTGATGGCTGCAAACGTTACAGAAACGCTGGCGGGGCCCCGCGGCAGGAGCCAGGGAGGCGGGTGGGGAACAGGAGTGGGGTTGGTGCCAAAAGGTCAGGGACAGCGCAGAAATTCAGATGTTACTGAGAGGCTGAGGGAGCCAGAGCAAATTCTTCCCCGGCTGAAAGCAACCTTGTACAGCTCGGCTCTCTGCTAAATGAGGGAAGCTTTAATGTGGAGCAGATGTAGTGACGTCTTCTTTCCTCGTTAGCTGGCTCCAACATGCTCAGGGTGCACCATCCCAGGGAGCCATGCATTGCTTGTCTTTACAAAGGGTTTTTCACCAGGTTTCTGGGCACAGTTACAGGGTTTAGTAACCCAGTTCATCAAGCTCTGGTTTTATTCTGAAAAAAATAAATTTGTTAGGATGCACTTTTTGTTTGTTTGTTTGTTTGTTTGTTCCCCAAACTCCACAAAAGACTTGAAGCTGTCACTGCAGAGGTGACTTTTGCTGCTGAGGGTGATATGTTTGCAGAGAATGTGGGCTGATGGACTGGGCAGGATCAGCTGGAGGAGCAGAATACTGCGTGGGTGCTAGGCTGAGAGCCGTATTATCTTCATTTCATGCCAGGAGGGTGGACAAATTATCATGAGGGTTGTGGCAGGGTTTAGGAGCAGACCCATCCCTTACGGGGTCCTTCCTCACTGGGGCTTCTTCAAGGGTGAGCTGGTTGGTGCAACAGCTGTGTGACTGAGCCGGGCAAGTCACCTTGTTTTAGTGTTTAAAATAAGGAGTACTAAGGAGGGGCAAGCCAAGCTCATCATCATTTCTGTCCCCGGGATTGCCTCGTTGCCATCACTTTGCGATCCTGCCGCCCTGCTTCTCCGGGACACCAGTCACCTCCAGGCATTGCCAGCTACCTTGATCCGCGGTTTTGTTCTTAAAAAAACAAAGGCTAAAAGGGAGACACTTGGCAGAACCAGTTGGAAGCCGTGCTGTCTCATCAGTGTTTTCCCTTATTTTCACACCAGATTCCTGGGTCCCATCCTTAAAGGCAGATTAAGAGGCAGCTCCCCAGCCTGGGGCCTTGCCTTTGCCCGCTGCCGAAGACCCAAACACCTCTGCTGAAACCAGTTTGCTTTGAACAGCGATGGGCAGGAGAAAGGCCCTCAGGCAAGGACATTTTTTTCCCCGTATCACTACCACAAGCTCGGGAAGGAACCTGGCACTGGCTGCCACTCTCTGGGCATGGCGGGGCCAGCCTGGTCCGGGCAGTCCAGGCTGGACCCTGGGAGGAATTTCCTCTCGAGGCCGGTGGTGCCACGGCAGAGGGAGGCCATGACAGGGCACCAGTGAGGGGAGACCCGTGAGGGGACTCTGGTCAGGGGAGACTCGTGAGGGGGGTCCGGTGAGGGAGGCTCCGGGGCCCCGTGAGGTCGCGCTGTGAGGGGAGCGAGCCCCTCAAGCGGAACCGGTGAGGGGGGCTCCGGTGAGGGGGGCCCCGTGAGGTCGCGCTGTGAGGGGAGCGAGCCCCGTCAAGCGGAACCGCTGAGGGGAGCCCCGTGAGGGCGGCTCTTGTGGCAGAGCTCCGGTGAGGGGAGCCCCGCTGAGGCTGCCCCGCGGATCCCGGGCGCCGAGTCTCCCCACGCGGGAGCGCGCCCACCTCTCCCACACATCCCCCCCCCCCTCCCGCCTTCCCCAAGCCCCGCAGCCCGCCCGGCCCCGCTGCCGCCGGCCTGGCGGATGCGCAAGATGGCGCAAGGCGCTGCCCGCCCGCCCCCGCCCGCCGGCGGCCCCGCTCCCTCAGCGCCGCCCCCCCCCCCCCCCCCCCGCCCGGCGCGGCGGCGTGTTCGCACGGAGGGGAGCAGCGCTGAAATCCGCTTTTTGCCTGTTTGTTTGTTTGGGTTTGTTTTTTTTGTGTTGTTTTTTTTTTTTTTTTTTTTCCCTTTTAACCTTGCCTTCCCCCCCCCCCCCCCCCCTCCCGCCTCTTTTCCCTCAACTGGGGGGTGGGTCTCTCCTGGCCTCCCTCTTTCCCTCCCTCCTGCGCGGGCTGCTCCCTCCCCGTGGGGCGCAGGGAGGCGAGCCCGCCCGCCCGGGATGCCATGGCTCCGCCGGGCTCCGCGCTGCCCGCCTGCCTGCTGGGGCTGCTGCTGCTCGGCTGCCGCGGAGGTAAGAGCCGGTCGGGGCTTGGGGAGCGGGCGGGGGGGACGGACCTGCCGCCGCCGCGCCCGGCACCGCCGCTGCTCCCCGCCGCCCTCGCCCCTCGGTCGGTCCCGTCCGCGTTCCCTCTCGCACTTCGCGTCCCCTCATCGCCTCCGTGGTGGCCGGTCATTCCTGCTCCCTCACGTCCCTCCTCAGCCCGACTGCGGGTCCCGGTCCCCCTTGCTCGTCCCTAGCCGGTCCCATCCCCTCACGCCTCCGCGGTCACTCCCAGCTCCGCGCTCAGCCCAGCCCGGTGGCATCGGGCTGCCGTGGAGGCTGAACGGGGCCGAACAGCTCCAGGCGCTGGAGGGGACCGAGCGCGGCTCCGACACGCGTGTGTTGCAGCGTGGAACTGCTCGTGTCACCCGCCGTGCTAGCATCCCTCGGCGGGAGCAGGGGGCTCGTCCCTCCGGGAAGGCACGTTGGGGTCGCGGCTTTTGGCTGTAGGTTTCTACATCAGCACCTCCAACACCGTAATCTGCAGACAGCCCTAAGCGCTCCCCCAGAGCTGTGTTTTTGGTTGGAAACCCCACTTGGTGTGGGGGGCTCCGGGGAGGGGAGCATGGTGTTTGTGGGGCCCTCGCCCCCATGGCCAGTGTTGAGGAGGAACGGGGTGGCTGCTGTGGCAGTGGCGTGGTTGGGCGTCCACGCTCAGGGACCAGACCCAAAATCATTGCCGGCGATGTGAGCGGGAGACAGCACCCAAGCAAGCGAGTCGTGTTGGTCAGCAAAGGCAGTAGGTAGAGAAAAGAGATGCTGGGCTGCAAGTTGCAGGGGTGATGGTGAGCTACTTTAAACCTGCAAGTATTGTGCTCTTCTGTAATGCCTGGCTTGGTTCACACAGCCGCAACTGGTAACACCACCCACCGGACCAGGACCGAACTACAAAAACATCAAAGGGATTTTTCCCTGGACCTACTGTGCACATGCCCTGCTGATAAATTGCAGTATTTTCCTTCTACTGGTGATGCTGCTTAACCACGGTGTAATCTGAGAAAGATGCTGTTCTGCAGCAAAATACCTGTGTGCATCCTGCTCCCTCTTCGTTTAGCAGTCCTAAAGATAAAGAAAAGTAGGGATTATTTAAAAAAAAATTGCAAGCAGCCCAGCATGGTCAGAGGGAGAAAAGTGTGTGTTAGATTAATCAGAGGTTAGCTGCCGTGGTGGTTAAGAAACCAGGCTGTGGGCTATTCCCATAATAAATCTTGCCACGTGGTTCGTAGCCGCCACGGTGAGGAGAAGAAGCCGGTGTAACTCCCGGAAAATAGAAGTTATCCGTGAAGTGGATGTAATGAAGCAGGTCTTATTACTCTGGTGGGATTCCTGGGTACGCAGCAGTGCAATGAGGATGGTTGAAAAAGTACTTATTTTGGGGGGGAATAAAGGAAAAAAAGTGAATTTTTGAAAGCAAAACTTTAGTAAGTTGAGTTTGTGTCTGGTTTTGCCTGCTGCTGTCCAAATTGCCCTGTGTATTTGTTTATGCCGCAGCTTGGCAGATCAGTGGCTCCTGACTTTGTGGTGTGTTTTGCTGGCCCCGCTAAAGAGTGCTTTGCTGCACTTTAAAAGTTTTTCTGTTCTGAGGGGTTTTTTTTCCCTCTTTGGTGGGTTTATATGCTCTAGATGTGGTTAACAGTGAGGTAACGTGTTTCTGTGCTCCGATGAGTTTAATAAACCCTCCTGCATCGGCGTCAGCCAGCGCCGAAGCAGAAAGCCTCGCCACGGGGACGGATGCTGTGCCGCGAGCGGTGCTGCGCTGCGCGGGACGGGATGTTCCCCTCTCACCCTCTGGTTTTCAAACTCTCCAAAATGCTGGCCTGGCGACTGTGAGCCAGGCGTTGGGAGCTGCTGGTCAGTGTGCTGGAGTGGGCTCGGCAGCGAGACCGTATTTTCTTTCTTTTCTTTTTTTTTTTTTTTTTTTTAATTTCCTGGAGCTCTTTGTTCTGGGTGGTGGACAGCTTTTGTCTGTTATTGCTGAGCCTGGCATTCAAAGGCAGGCATAGGATACGAGAGGCTCCCCAGCTCTGCTCAGTAACAGCCTTGGAATTAAACATTGTCATTTATATTTAAGTAGGCTTAACTTCTAAATTATTGAAGCTATAAGCTTTCACTAATTCCTACTCTGTGTGGCTTTGTTGTTTTTTTTAGACACAAAAAAAGGATTGCTTTCTCCTAAATTGGTGTAATAACCTGTCTTTTTTCTTAATATACATAGAGAGTATCAGGTATAATTTCCCCAGGAACACTCAGAGGCGCTATATGAAATTCAAGCCCACGTTTGAGCTTTGTCTCTCTTGGGGGGGGTTCAACGGGAGAATCTCAGGACGTGGTTTTCCCGCGTGGTGGATGCAGCAGGCAGCCTGTGAAATGGGGTGGTCGCCTCACAGCTGTATCCTTGTGCACCGTGTTTGGGACCTGAGCTGGGTGTGAGCACGCAGCCACCCGTGCTGGTGGCACTCAGACCTGTGCTGGGGCCATCACGGTGCCGCAACGAAACTTCTCGTAGGAAGTAGATAAAAGCTAGTTGAGAGAGAGGGGAATAGGGCAGGTTGGTCCCCTCCTGATCTGCCCCACACAGGGAGTTAGAAATCCTAAACTGCTCTAATTGCACCTCTTCTTACTACCTGTCAGACTCTGGACCCTGCTCAGCACAAGCTCACTTAGCATCTGGCAGAGGGTCTCAGGGAGAGGAGCTGGGCAGAGTGCCCCAGATCCAGGTTACAGCCCCATTCCCTGCTCCTGTTCTTCCTGCTCAATCACAGGTTTTTGTCCACATACCCTGGTGCAATCAGAGTGGCATGGGCCAGCGTGGAGCAGCTCAGCAGCAGTAGTGCCTGACAGAGAGCTGCAAAACTGCTCTCTTTTCATGCGTGCGAACAAGAAAGCCTCTCTCCCTCTTTTCTGTCTGTCTGAACTTTTCTTTCTCCGATGTGCTTGTTTCTGGAGAGTCCCATGTTGCAGCGTGTGAAGTCCCAAGCAGTGACCGTATGCAGTGCTTCACAAACCCTTGGGACGCTGCTCCCCCCGCACCTCCTCGTCCCAGTGCCTTGAAATATCTCTCTCTGCTGTGCTGGGCTGGCCAGACCCATCTTGCTCCCCTCGCCGCAGCATTAGGATCCAGTGCTGGCTCCAGTGGGAGCAGGATGGGACCCCAATGCGGGGAACAGCGTGCAGCGGAGCTCGTGCGAAGCTGCTGCCGGCACCCAGCTTTCCCCCCACCCCAAAGCAGCGAGCTGATCCAGCTTGCCTTCGAGCAGACCATGCGCTTCGTTTTGCAGCCTGCAAAAGATCTGGGGCAGAAGATGCTTTTATCTGTGGCCCCTTCCCCTCCTGTATTTCATGCTTTGCACTCCCGGGCTTCTGACCTTGGATATTGCCCTTGTATTTGATCTAACAAAACAATGCAGGAGCCCCCCTCTGCAGATTAAGAACTCCCATTTAAATCACCCGAATAACACTGGGCAGGAACAGGAATAGTCCATTCAAAATTACTTTGAAATCACAAACTTATTTGAACTTTACTGGAGCTTTTAGTTTTACAGAGTTTAGAAACTAATAAATTATGTAGCAGGGCTCATGAAAATCTACTCGAGTCCGTTTATCCAAAAGAATATGCAACATTTTGCTTTTGCAAGAAAATAAAAATAATTGTTTACACATGTTCAGGAGTCATTGGCAAGCATATAAAACTGATGGTTAAGGAGGCGAACATGTCAATAATTGCACTTTAAGAGAAGAGAGAGGCAAATAGGCGAGCGTACTGAGAAAAGCACACAGCATACTGATCTGGCCTTGCTATTATATCAAATGTCACTGTTGTATCGCACCCTCCACTCGAGAGGAGCCCAGTCACTTAACAGCCCAGACCCGCTCCTGCGTTGGTAATTTAAAACCAGAGTTGCAGAGCAGAGTCAAGGATTTGCTGCCTTTTTTTTTTTTTCGTTCTTGTGCATGTGAATGTGTTGATGAAGCTAATGGCAAGTCAGGAGGATGCGGGTTGTGGCGGGTGATTCTGCCGAGTTGTAAAAATACTTTTGCAAAAGGATCTTTGCTGCCGAAACCTGAGAGTATGTGAAAAGGGGGAAAAGCGCTAGTGTTTCGTTGAAATGGCTCTGGTTTTGGAGCAACCCGGGATCAGTGTGGTGTTCAGCTCCTTGAGCAGAGCGAGGTGATGCTTTCCTCCCTCCTGAATTTCAGTGTGGCAGGGCGGGAGGTGATAAGGCAGAGGACATGGCAGGGGGGAGAGAGAGTGCAGTGTTTACTTTGAAGCGATGAAGAGTTTCAAAGGTTTTCATGTGCACAGAAACTTCTCTTCCTCCAGGAGGACCTTGCCTTTCCTCTCCTTGCACACCATCCAGTCCTGCCTGCCAGTACTCAAGCTGAATTTCAGGGGCTGGGCGATGGGGCTGTGCTGGCTGGTGGTTTTGGGGACCGTGGTGCCAGGTTGCCTGTGGCTCTCTCGTCAGCCTCGTGTCATCGCGTTCCTCCCAGCTGACATATCTCTGATCCACGGGCACCGTCACCCACTGCGTGGCCAGTCCGTTCCCTGCGGCTCTGTGCAAGGGACTGGCCATGGGGACAGCCACCTCCCTGCTGCTTTCTTGCAGGGTTGGAGGCTGAAACCAGCTCTTCCCCCCATTCTGTGTTAGAGCAGCCGTGGAGGGACCCTGGCTCTGGGTACAGCGTTTCCCATCGTGGCCGCTGCCTTTGCCGTCCTCTCGTGCGCGGTTGTTTCGTGCTCCGTATTTGTATCGCTGATGCCCTCTGCGGTGAGACTGTGATCTGGTCAGGGCTGGGAAACACGTGGGGAATGCAAATAACGACACATGCTACGCTCGGCTTGCTGCTGTGCTCTCTGGATGCCTCACTGTGGATGGAGCTACTGTGGGCAATTAACTCAGAAAAGGTCTTTGCCCTTTTCCAGCTATACCAACAGGTTTCATCCTCCTTTCTTCAGAGATGGGGCAATC